GTAGGCCAACTCCAGTTCACCATCTCACACATTTTTAAAAATTTGTAACAAACGTCGGCCAGGTGCGGTGGCTCACGCCTGTAATCCCAGCACTTTGGGAGGCCGAGGTGGGCAGATCAGGAGGTCAAGAGATCGAGACCATCCTGGCCAACATGGTAAAACCCCGTCTCTACTAAAAATACAAAAATTAGTCAGGCATGGTGGCACGTGACTGTGGTCTCAGCTACTTGGGAGGCTGAGGCAGAAGAATCACTTGAACCTAGGAGGCAGAGGTTGCAGTGAGCTGAGATTGCGCCACTGCACTCCAACCTGGCAACAGAGCAAGACTCCGTCTCAAAAAAAAAAAAAAAAAAAAAAATTTGTAAACAATGTCTTATATATCTAGGACTAGATATTAAAATATGGACCTAAAATATCCACTCTACACACAGCTGTTTGTAGAATAAAGTGCATATTGGGGATAATGGCTATAATAAGAATATGGATATTTTGGTTCAGAACTCTTCTTACTTTTCCCCAGCTTATTCAATGGGCAAAGTACAGGAATGTTATACTACAGAGATAGATTAGGAATTTCATTTCTAGAAGCAATGTTTGGGGCTGGGCATGGTGGCTCACACTTGTAATTCCAGCACTTTGGAAGGCCAAGGTGGGAAGACTGCTTGAGCTCAGGACTTCAACACCAGCATGGGTAACAAAGTGAGACCCCTGACTCTACAGAAAAAAAAAAAAAATAGCTGGGCATGGTGGTGTACATCTGTGGTCCTACCTACACAGAAAGCTGAAGTGGGAGGATTGCTTGAGCCCAGGAGGTTGAGGCTGCAGTGAGCCATGTTCTTCAGCCTGGGCACCAGAATGAGACCTCTCTCAAAAAAATAAAAAATAAAAAAAGCAGTGTTTATTGGGTAAACACGGACATAAAGATGGCAACAGTAGCAGCAGACATGGGGGACTGTTGCTAGGGGAAGGGTTAACTATCAGGTACTATGTTCACTACCCGGGCAATGGTATCAACTGTACCCCAAACGTCAGTACCATGCAATGTACCGATGTAACGAATCTGCACATGTTCCCCTGCAATCTAAAATACGAGTTAACTCTATAAAAATAAAATAAAATACATATGTAAATTAAAAAAAACTGGGCGTGGTGGCTCATGCCTGTAATCCCAGCACTTTGGGAGGCCGAGGCGGGTGGATCACCTGAGGTTAGGAGTTTCAGACCAGCCTGACCAATACGGTGAAACCTGGTCTCTACTTTAAAAAAAAAAAAAAGTTGAAGGCTGGGCACAGTGGCTCATGCCTGTAATCCCAGCACTTTGGGAGGCTAACACAGGCAGATCACTTGAGCCCAGGAGTTCAAGACCAGCAATCTGGTGAAATTCCATCTCTGCCAGAAAAATACAAAAATTAGCCACTCTCATAGCCTGTTCTCAAATAAGTTGAAATTATTTATTATTATTATTTTTTGAGACGAGTCTTGCTCTGTTGTCAGGCTGGAGTACAATGGTGCAATCTCAGCTCACCACAACCTCTTGCTTCCTGGGTTCAAGCGATTCTCCTGCCTCAGCCTCCCGAGTAGCTGGGATGACAGGTGTGTGCCACCACACCCAGCTAATTTTTGTGTTTAAAAATTTTTTTAAAAGCAATGTTTAAAAGATTTTCTGGCAGGGCTCAGTGGCTCACACCTGTAATCCCAGCACTTTGGGAGGCCGAGGCAGGTGGATCACCTGAGGTCAGGAGTTCGAGACCAGCCTGGCCAACATAGTGAAACCCTGTCTCTACTAAAAAACAAAAACAACAAAATAAAACAAAAAAAATTCTGACTGGATGCGGTGGCTCATCCTGTAATCCCAGCACTTTGGGAGGCCAAGGCAGGTGGATCGCCTGAGGTCAAGAGTTTGAGACCAGCCGGGCCAACATGGCAAAACTCTGACTCTAGCAAAATACAAATATTAGCTGCGTGTGGTGGTGAACACCTGTAATTCCAGCTACTTGGGAGGCTGAGGCAGGAGAATCACTTGAACCTGGGATGTAGAGGTGGCAGTGAGCTGAGATCACACCACTGCACTCCAGCCCAGGTGACAAGAGAACAACTGTCTCAAAAAAACGAAACAAAACAAAGACTTTCTTCTGAATTTAACCAAGTGTCCTAAAATATATTTACTAACTCAATATTTGTCATATGAAATTAGAACACAGTGTTATATATCCTATGTATGCAGCAACATTAAATGTCATATGAAATTAGAATATATATAGATCAACATTAAATAAATGTGCATAATTCCTTTCTCTCTTTAAATGAAAGTTGCCAGGAAAAAAAGGAAAAAAATAATAATTGCCTTCTCTCTGTCCAACTACTCAGGGAAAAGTACAGATATTTTTGAGTGGTTTAACATTCTCCCATCTAAGCACTAACCAGGCATGACCCTGCTTAGCTTCTGGGCATGTTTAGGGTGGTATGGCTGTAGATAATTTAGCATTTCTATTAGGGAAACAATCTTTTTTTTGCAGACTGTCTAACTGTTGCCCTGGCTGGAGTGCAGTGGCACGATCTCTGCTCACTGCAACCTCTTCCTTCCAGGTTCAAGTGATTCTTCCGCCTCAGCCTCCCAAGTAGCTGGGACTACAGGCGCCCGCCACCACGCCCTGCTAATTTTTGTATTTTTAGTAGAGATGGGGTTTCACCATATTGGCCAGGTTGTTCTCACTCCAGACCTTGTGAGCTGCCCACCTCGGCCTCCCAAAGTGCTGGGATTACAGGCGTAAGCCATCACACCTGGCCAGGGAGACAATTTTTCTAAGGCAACCCTCCAGATCCGTGGGTTCTGCATCTGCAGATTCAGCCAACCACGGCTCAGAAATACTCAGGGAACCCGCCACCCAAATAACAGTATAATAAAAAACAAATAAAAATACGACATTAACTTCTATATGTATTAATATCATTTACACTATATTAGGTATTATAAGTAATCTAGAGGTGACAAAGTATATGGGAGGATATGCATAGGTCACACGCAAACACTAGGCCACTTTATTTATTCACAGGATCTTGTTCTGTTACCCAGGCTGGAGTGCAGTAGTTCCATCACTGCTCACTGCAGTCTCAGCCTCCTAGGTTCAATTTATCCTCCCATCTCAGTCTTCTGAATGGTTTAGGACTACAGGTGTTCACCACCACACCTGGCTAATTTTTTTTTTTTTTTTTTTGTAGAGGCAGGGTTTTGCCATGTTGCCCAGGCTTATCTTGAACTCCTGAGCTCAAGTAATTCACCTGTTTCAGCCTCCAAAAGTGTTAGGATTACAGGTGTGACCCACTGTGCCTGATACTAGGCCATTTTATATCGGGGACTTGAGCATCTGTGGATTTTGTTATCTGTGGGAGGTCCTGGACCAATCAATCCCCACAGATATCAAAATCCAAGGATACTCAAGCAGACCTCAGTATCCCCATGGATACCAAGAGATGACTGTATTGAAAATATTGACTACTTCACATCTATTTTTCACATGTGGTGGGCGGATCTAAACATGTAGAAAAGCTAAATATAGGTATTTGAATTAACTAAGTTGATAATTATATCCACAGGAGTGCTGAGTAATAGCACCTATGTGAAACAATGGTTCTAAATGCACTCTGGTGGGAACCTTTTCCCTTCTTCACTGCCTTTTGTGCTTCCCTCAACTCGTGAAAGATCGAGGGCATGAGTCCAAGAAATGCTGTAAAAATTGCATTCCCTTAAGTGATTTCCAGAAGGCAATGTTCCTTTCCAGTGAATTTTAACGAAACAGTTAGAAAATAAGTTTTTCTCATTTTGCTTTTGGATCGTTGACAACTTCTCCACATCTAGAAAGGCCACATGTTGCAAAGAATTCGTTTATTTCAGAAAGTTGCAGTAAAAGCTTAGAGCAGCTGGTCCATATTATACATAACATAGTTGGTAAATCTTTCAAATAGAGGGTTGTCAATTCCAATGGCCAAATGGGACAAACCATAAGCCATCATTTCTCACTCCTCTACCAAGAACACCCAGAGGCCGTTGTGGTTTTGGTTTCTCTCACTGGCCACCCAGCTGCCTTCTTGCCATTTCAGTGGGTGGGGGTCCCCGGGTCCCCATCCATCCCCAATGCCTGTGCCCCACGTGGGGCCACTGCCTGCAAAGGCAGGGTGACTGTGGCTCTATTTCCACCATTCACCCATCCCCTGAAGTAGGTGAGATATTATATGCAGATTATAGATTTCTGCGATTTTTTTTTTTTTGAGACGGAGTCTTGTTCTGTCGCTCAGGCTGGAGTGCAATCGTGCGATCTTGGCTCACTGCAACCTCTGCCTCCTGGGTTCAAGCGGTTCTCCTGCCTTAGGCTCCCAAGTAGCTGGGATACAGGTGCTCACCACCACGCCAGGCCAATTTTTGTATTTTCAGTAGAGATGGGGTTTCACCATGTTGGCCAGGCTGGTCTTGAACTCTTGATGCCTAACTCAGCTTCCCAAAGTGCTGGGATTACAGGGATGAGCCACCGTGTCCAGCCTGCAATTTGATATTTTTACCTGTCTTCAAGATCTTTCTTTTCTCATGGAGATACCTCGATTTTTATAAATATAGCGACACAAAATTTTAAATGGCTTTGGAAGGGTACTGGAATACAGATGTCCATAAAAGAATTCTACATGATCAAATCTATTGATTATTCAGCATTTTAACAATCACAATTCAACAACTTACAGTGATCTGAAGGTACTCAAAATCCTAAATGACTTCTGAAATTAAATTATGTTCAGTAAAAAACTAAGTTAAACTCTTTAGGTTTTGAATAAACCTAAGTAAACCACAATTTTGTTGCACTTAAATAATACCTATCTTAGAGGTGGTTTCCCCAAACTGTTAGCCAATCTCTTTCTCTAAGCACTATTTTACCAGGTTTTCAAGTTGATAAAAATAATAGTTATACTCGTATTTGGTAAATACCACTTTATAAAAAAGAAAACACTTCCAATACAATACCTTCTCTTTGTTTATTAATAAAGTAATTCATTATGATTTTTGAAAAAAAAGTTGTAAAATGTTCTGCATACATGTTAATGTAGGTTAGGCCATCCAAAAGACAAAGCAAAGCGTCAACTTTAAGTCATGGGCTACGATTATACAAATGAGACAAATACAAGGCTTATGATACTTGTTAGGTAAACACAACCAAACTAAACTGTACTTCAAATTTGTTTATAGAAAAGCCTGTTAAAGCTCACTTTAAAATAGTGTCCATCTTTTCTTTTAAACAGGCATAGACTTATTTGCACTCATGTACAAATATACCCAATAGCTTTCTTCATCTTTTAATACAAGTACAATTCCTTGCTTCTTTATGTAACCCAACAAAATATAGAATGAAGTCATTAGAAAAATATGAACCTTTCTGAATCTATATTACATTTTTAATTTAAATCAGAAAATATAGTTAGATCATATGAAACATATGGATTTCAGACATATATTATCTGTTTCTAACAGATTATTAGATACGGTCTTTATTTTGGCTGAAATGCAAAAATATGACTTTCTTAATAACAGATTAGTTAAAAATACTTTCCACTGATAGCAGTGCTAATCCCTAAACAAAAGATAAGCAAAACTTATTTGTAAGTTACTGCCTATTCAATGCCCAGAATATGTAGATCCTAAATCTAAGCTCTTAATATACATCTGCTTTAAAGATAACTGAAAGAAGATCTCACATGCCTGATAATCTTTAAACAGTCCAGTAAACATAGTCAAAATCTGCTTTCTAAATGAAATAGAATTCAAGTAAACATTGCATATTTGATTTAAACCACCTTACAGTTAAATTCACTCATGACACACTGGATCATAACCACTAATATGTAAAAACAGTTTTTAAAAAAGCATCCTTATGTAAAGATGAAATTAAACTTTGTAAACTTGTTCATTTAAAATAAACTAATGTACTGTAGCTGCTCTTTGGTTTGGCATAGCTTTAGGTATTGAATGTTCAAGTAAATTTGTTCCCAGGTAAACCAAGTCTCCTGTCTAATTCATTTTTAATGGCAATGGCAAGACCTGAACTTCAACTTTATTTTTCTTAAATGTCATCACAAATGTTCAAGTGTTTGAAGGACCAAGATAGTACTTATAAAATTTGACAGGGCTTCATTTTGATTTTTTCTCCCCAAATAGTTGATAGCAATAATCAATAGCAGTTGAGATACCAAAGAGGCAGCCTTTCTCTGATTCCCACACCACTAGTAGGCCCTTGCTAGAATGGCCATTAATACATATAAATCAGTTCAGCTAAATAATGTTTAGAATGTGGCAAAATGTTGGCTGTGGATTAAATCAAAGATAAATAATTTAAAGGCTTTAATTGAAAATTTCTGAAAAGATGTTTGCTGTGCTATTATACTAAAGATGATGTTAAATAACAAAAATGCAAAGAACTAAGACTATTTGTATAATGGTGAAGAAAGAAGTTTCCTTGGCTGTTAGCCAGGAGCACGCAAATCTTTTGATCTGAATGTAAAAACACAAAAAGTACAAGGAGAACATTTCTGAAAGTAGTCAAGTATGTTTAAACATTTATCTCCTTATAATATGCAAACTGCCAAAATGAAGTTAAGTTTTCACTTGGTAATTGATCTTTTTTTTTTTTTTTGACACATTTTCACTCTGTGTCGCCCAGGCTAGAGTGCAGTGGCATGATCTCAGTTCACTGCAGTCTCCGCCTCCTAGGTTCAAGTGATTCTCCTGCCTCTGTCTCCCAAGTAGATGGGACTACAGGCATGTGCCACTATGCCTGGACAGTTTTTTAAAAATATTTTTAGTAGAGATGGGGTTTTGCCTTTTTGGCCACTAGTCTCAAACCCCTGCCTTCAAGTGATCTGCCAGCCTCAGCCTCCCAAAGTGTTGGGATTACAGGGGTAAGCCACCACGCCCCAGCAATAATTGATACCTCTTACCTCTCATTCCAGTTTGCTAGAATCAAGATTATTAAGACTAAGGAGTTGAAACAAAGGTAGAAGAATCCATACTATAGTATTCCAAACTATGTTTTCATTCTTTTGGTTCAGAGAAAAAGGGTACCTCCTTTTAAGATCTAATATTAGTATGGATGATGGAAATTAGATCACTCTTACAAATTATAAAACTACAATAGAAACCATAAAATTTATGCTGTACTACGAAATGATGGAGCTATCCCTAGTGTATTGTTTAGCATATATGAGGTACTCCAAAAAATTTACTGGGGCCAGGCGTGGTGGCTCATGCCTGTAATCCCAGCACTTTGAGAGGCTGAGGCAGGTGGATTTTTGAGGTCAGGAGTTTGAGACCAGCCTGGCCAACATGGTAAAAAATGTAAAAAGTAGCCGGGCTTGGTGGTATGAGCCTATAATCTCAGCTACTTGGGAGGCTGAGGCAGGGGAACTGTTTGAACCCAAGAGGCAGAGGTTGCAGGGAGCTGAGATTGCACCACTGCACTCCCGCCTGGGAGACAGAGCGAGACTGTCTCAAAAAATAAAAATACAGAGTGAATAAAAGTGATTTTGCAAAATTAGACATCGCAGAATGTTAGAAGTCATCCATTCTAACTCATTCACAACACCCCTCCCCTGCAGTCCCATTTTACAGACAGGAAACTCCAACTGTAGTACTCATAGATGCTGCTGAGATTCATCTCTACCCATTAACTGGAAGCAATCAATTATTTGAGAGAGAGAGTATGTGTGTGTATGTGACTAAATGGTATAAATAAGAAGTAACATTTCTACACTGTTTATTCTGTACTTTTCTTTGGAGTTAATGCAACAACTGTCACTTAGATTATAAAAAAAAGGAGACATGTGTCTAGTCAGAAAGGGGTTGCTGTTAGTAAGTCAGACTTAAGATTGTGCATCTAAGAGTAGAATCTACTTCTCAGAGACTAGGAATGTAAATGATCACTCAGGTTAGAATTTGTGACAGCCAGGAGGAAAAATTAATCTAAAGTTGTAGTTGTTTTTTGCCTACTTTGAACTGCATTTTAAGTCACGGTTTAAGCTGTTACATGATTACTATAAAAAGTTATATTTTTAGTACTGAAATTTGAAAGTCAAGTCAATAGCATGCTCTATTCTAACTACTGTTAAAACTCTAATTTTTTTTAACAGATTACAGTATTCCTCTTAGCTTTTCTTCTGGACACTTAACACTTCTTCCTACCGTGTCCAGTATTTCTCCAGCATATGTACCTTTGTGTTTCTCTGCCCATGTACTTACCCCTGAAAGTTCAACAAAAAAAGTTATTAAAAAAGCAGAGAACTCAAAGTATTTCTTATACTGCCAAGTTCCCTTTAAGCCTTGAGCACATGCTATACTACATGGTTGTATTAATGCTTATAACTAAGCTTTTGATGAGTTAGACCAATGTGTTGTATGTTCTAAATGATATTTAGATATCTGAATCCTTCTGTTATAGCCAACGATAAAAAAAGTTATTAAAATGTTGAAAAGTATAAAATAGTAATTATAAATTAGCAAATACCCAATTTAAAAAAGCAGTTTTCCTTATACAGTATAAGCAACAGTAATTTGGATATTATTCGCCCTCAGCCACCATTTGCCCTAAGTACTTTACTTAAGAAAAGTTTTTTAGCTTGTGTTTTCAGAGTGAAAATTTATATGGATATTAACAATTCTAATAATGTAATTCAGGTATCAAAAAATACATATGCATATTAAAATGTGATGACAGCTCATATTATAGCATCTCATAACAGGTAAGTATTATTTCCAGAATAACATTAAGTCACTTTTGTAGCTCTAAGTCAATGCTGCACAAATGAACACTTAAGATTAAGGCATCGTTCTGCTCTGGAGTAATGCTTCTGTAAATCCCAGGAACTGTACAAAGGCTTTTCTTTTTTTAAAAATATATCTTCTGTTATACTTCAATTATTTCATTCCACTGATCATTTTCTTACAAATGAAATTGAAAATATCAGTCTATAAATGTTTTCATACACCTATAAAAAAAAAACAATTGAATTATTGGTTAAAACTTGATTTTTTATTTCTGAAGATACTAAATAGTTCTTTGGGCTAAGGTACAAGGCTACTAATATAACAAGATGGAAAGTGAATTCCTTAATGCTACTATTATAATAATAAAGATTTTTCTGTAGCAGTAGATAAATGGGTATTACTTTCTTTTTTGTTTTGAGACGGAGTTTCGCTCTTGTTACCCAGGCTGGAATGCAATGGCGCGATCTCGGCTCACCGCAACCTCCGCCTCTTGGGTTCAGGCAATTCTCCTGCTTCAGTCTCCTGAGTAGCTGGGATTACAGGCACGCGCCACCATGCCCAGCTAATTTTTTGTATTTTTGATAGAGATGGGGTTTCACCATGTTGACCAGAATGATCTCGATCTCTTCACCTCGTGATCCACCCGCCTCGGCCTCCCAAAGTGCTGGAATTACAGGCTTGAGCCACCGCGCCCGGCCAAATGGGTATTACTTTCTTCCCCCGAAGCAATCAAGAGAGTATTTTAAAAGATAGAGACTCTTACAGTACCCCCAGACTACTAACTTGGACATCGTTTGAGAAGACATCTGGTCCACCTACACCTGTTCTAAGATTGGTGCAAGATTTAGAAAAATTCCCACAGCAACTGTTAAAGGAACTGCAGCTGAGGCTTCTCAACAACCACAAGCATCAGCAATTATTCCACCCACATTAAGAAGAAATGCAGAGCTAGGACTCAGGGCTTGTCTAGGGACCAAGTACTATTCCACAGCCCCAGCTCTTGGTGGCATTGACCTGGCCCACAATCACCTATTTGGGATCATGCAATGTAGCTCCTCTTCTGATTGCACCCTACTCTGCCTGATGTGTCCTCCCCCACCCTAGTGTCTGTGATCTGACTCTGTCCTGAGTCTCAGGCTCTAGCTGCAGCCCTGCATGCAGGCTCAAGGTCCTCTGCAAGCCCCTAACTGCTGATGACAAGGCCACAAGTGAGGAAACAGATGCTCCTCTAGTGGACACTCCAGATGAGATTCCTTAAGAAAAACAAACTCCTGTTATACAGGAACAGGATGATAAATGTGATAAGCTCCATGTTTGTGGTAATTTACTTCTTAGCAATGTTCTCTTGCTGTGTCTTTTACAAATCATATAACATAAACGAACTTCTTAATTCTTTTTTAGAATCTTTAATTTTGGTCATTTTTCTCTGGGTCAAATTTCCTCAATAGTGGACAAAAGTCATCTTTTCTTTTTTTTGAGATAGGGCCTCACTCTTTTACCCAGGCTAGAGTGCAGTGGTGCCATTTTGGCTCACTGAAGCCTCGACCTCCTGGGTTCAAGTGATCCTCCCACTTCAGCCTCCCAAGTAACTGGGACTACAGATGTGAACCAACACAAACCTGGCTAATTTTTAATTTTTTGTAGAGATGAGGTCTCATTATACTAATTTTAGTATCTCACTTAGGTTGGTCTCTAACTCCCAGGCTTAAGTGATCCTCCCACCTTGATCTCCCAAAGTACACAGGGAGATTATAGGGGTGAGCAACCTTGCCTGGCCACTTTTCTTTCTTTAATAAGGTATTGTTTACTGAAAAGGCCAGTGGCCCACATACCAGTACTAAACTATTTTTTAAATTACTTTCTCCATTAATTTACCAACAAATAGTTACTAAGATTGTGCTATAAGGGATAAGGAAAATGAGATTTTTGCAGATGTTACGTTCCAGTCTTTCCATACTGCCTAATTTTGCTGACAGCATTGAAGAGACAAAAAAAAAACCAACAAACAAAAAAACCCCCCAAAAACCTGTAAATTATTTAAAGATTATAAAGTATGCACACAAGCTACATTTATTTAAGGAAATTACCTTTATACTGTCTTACCTTGCTCTTATTCAAATGGTTAGTTATGAACAAGTGGTACTCAATTTTCTATTGCCACTGTTACATGGTTATTTGTCCCTGTAAGCACATAATTATATATGACATGACCAGAAAAAAAGAAGTATTAAGTTCCTGGCTAAATGGCAAAATTGACTATAGCAAAATGATTATTATGGAAATATGAAATAGGTTGATGGTGTCAACCATTTGTCTTCTTGTAGAAAATTGAAGAAAGGAAAGCGCTAACGTTAGCTGTCAAAAGTTTGATTTTGTGTTTATCCTTGTGGAAGTATCTATTGGCTTTAAAGATGTTAAGCAGCAATAATTAAGAAGTTCACAAAATCAACCTTTCCCTAGATCTTTTTGTTTTTAGAGATGGGCCTCAATAGTATTGTGTAGGCTGGCCTTAAACTTTGGAATTTTTCCTTGACCTTATATAAGAGGTATGATGATCCTAATGAAGATCCTAAAAATACTAATTTAAGAGAATGTTCCAAATGCTGCTAAAAGTCAAGACAATAACAACAAAAAAAACCCTCAGAAATTCTAACAGTAGGTTTTTAAGGGTATTTGCTATAGTCCAGAATCTTTTTTTTTTTTAAGTGGAGTCTCACTCTGTTGCCAGGCTGGAGAGTGCAGTGGGGTGATCTCGGCTCACTGCAACCTCTGTCCCCCTAGGTTCAAGCGATTCTCCTGCCTCATCTTGAGTAGCCGGGGCTACAGGTGTGCACCACCAGGCCCAGCTATTTTTTTTTTTTTTGAGACGGAGTTTTGCTCTTGTTACCCAGGCTGCGGTGCAATGGCGCGATCTCGGCTCACCGCAACCTCCGCCTCCTGGGTTCAGGCAATTCTCCTGCCTCAGCCTCCTGAGTAGCTGGGATTACAGGCACACGCCACCATGCCCAGCGAATTTTTTCTATTTTTAGTAGAGACAGGGTTTCACCATGTTGACCAGGATGGTCTTGATCTCTTGACCTTGTGATCCACCTGCCTTGGCCTCCCAAAGTGCTGGGATTATAGGCATGGGCCACTGTACCCAGCTTTTTTTTTTTTTTTTTTTTTTTTGAGTCAGGGTCTTCTTCTGTCATCAAGGCTGGAGCTAACATGACGATAGCTCACTGTAGCTTCAAACTCCCAGGCTCAAGCAATCCTCTCACCTCAGCCTCCTGAGTAGCTGGGACTACAGGAACATGCCATCAGGCCTAGATAATTTTTTTCCCTAAGTTTTTGTTAGAGATTGGCTATGTGGCCCAGGCTGGTCTCAAACTCCTGAGCTCAAGTGATCCTCCTGCCTCAGCCTCCCAAAGGTTGGGATTACAGGTGTAAGCCACGATGCCCAGCCTAAAACCACTTTTCTACCGTGCAAGGAGAAAATCACAGTGTTATTACTATTACCATTAAAAAATACCTCAGATGTGTTTTAGGCTGTAATGCTAGTTAAGTGGCCAGACAATGTTGTAAATCCAGGTCTGATGAAAATTCCCACTTCAATTTTACTGACTATTCTACACTTGCGTCCTCGATTAACAAATGATTAAGAGTCACCTAGAAAAGGTTAAAATATATTCAGTGTGCTCTTTTTAAACTAAGGCAGCAAAGAATATAATGCTTTCCAAGATTTACTTTCAACTAAGCAAAAGCTGGGGCCCTAAAGAATAACATTACTGGCCAGGCACAGTGGCTCACACCTGTAATCCCAGGACTTTGGGAGACTGAGGCAGGTGGATCACAAGGTCAGGAGATCAAGACCATCCTGGCCAACATGGTGAAACCCTGCCCCTACTAAAATACAAAATATTAGCTGGGCGTGGTGGTGGCGCACACCTGTAGTCCCAGCTACTCTGAAGGCAGAGGCAGGGGAATCGCTTGAACCTGGGAGGTGGAGGATGCAGTGAGCCCAGATGGCGCCACTGCATTCTAGCCTGGCAACAGAGCCAGATTCCATCTCAAAAAAAAAAAAAAAGAATGATGTTACTTTTTCAGAACAGCCAATGCCAAAAGAACTTTCCATATCTGAGCAGAGAAGTATGTGGTTGGGTAACAAAAACCTGCAGTTACACAGAACAAAAACATGAGCCACTATACTCTCCTTCCTCTAGCCCTTCCTCATAGAGACTACTAAGAAACACAAACACCCTATATATATTTTTTATTTAAAAGTTTCACATATTTTAGTATTTTTGAAATGTTATATTATTTTTATTTTTTCCATATTTATTAAATCTGGTGCTTTTCATTTGAAACAGACAAAGCAGTGTTTCAGATGACAACTATTACCTGATCTGATGATGCCTTCTTCAGCTCCATTTTCTAGCCACTGAGATTCACTGTCCAACAAGCGGTTTTTTGATTCACTAAGTGGTTTGATAGGAAAAGGCTGATTTGAGCCACTACTGAAAAGAAGAGCAAAAAACTTAGCAAATAGCTTAATGCTAAACTATGGATATTTAATAAATTAATAAGCAGCAAATTAGTATTCCTTTCCTAAATATGTGAGGGCAACTCATATGAGATCTTAGTACTCTGAAAAAACTATCTTCAAAATAAAAATATGCGTACAACCCCCCCATTAAATGGCTCTCTGAACCCAAGAATCTGTAGTCCAACATTGCCAATGAAAACAATTAGTCAAAATTTAAAAAGTTTCAGAGGCCAGTTTAAAATGTTCTTAACATGTTAATCAGGAGCCATAGGTAGTACAAGGACAGGTGAGGATCTAGGTCTGTGGCCAGTACAAAACAATTACCTGTCATTTCCCAAGTTTTCTGCTTTCTACCTCTGCAGTTTAGATCTAAGGGGAAAAAATGATTCAGTGATTTAGTGTAGACTTATTTTTCTAGCTAAAAGATCCAGGGAGGAAGGGAATGAAGGAAGGAAAGGAAGAAGAAAAGGGAACTGATACTTTTTGGGTCCCTATTATGGGGCAGACATGATGCTAGGCACTTTATACACATCATCTCAATCCTGAAAATAACCTTTGGTGGTAGGTATCATAATCCTAATTTTATAGAGGTGGAAACTGAGGCTCATAGTTTAAGTGCAGTGGCCAGAACCATAAAAAATGTTAGAGCTCAAAGGTCTAAGGCTTTAAGCTACAGGTTCTAAAACTTATGGTTCTTTCATTATTAATATGCTCACTTAGAACTTACCATTCCTGGCTGGGCATGATAGCTCACGCCTATAATCCCAGCCCTTTGGGAGGTGGATGTGGGTGGATCACAAGGTCAGGAGTTTAAGACCAGCCTGGCCAACATAGTGAAGCCCCGTCTCTACCAAAAATAAAAAAAAATTAGCCAGGTCTGGTGGTGGGTACTTGCAGTCCCAGCTACTCAGGAGGCTGAGGCAGGAGAATCGCTTGAATCTGGGAGGCGGAGGTTGCAGTGAGCTAAGCGTGCCACTGCACTTCAGCCTGGGTGACAGTGCAAAATCTGTCTCAAACAAACAAACAAACAAACAAAAAACCAAAAACCTTACCATTCCTCATCCCCTACAACTTATTTCTGTAATGAATAAATTCTGATTGTTTCACTTAGAAATATCTCTAATTTCTTTAAAATTTTGTTTAAAATGAACTATTACACCGAATCTATAAAAGTTTACTTGCCATGCAAATATGGAAAAATTTCCAAGATGAACTAATGAAAAAAAATTGGTATTTTTGAAACCTCATTATGTTGATAGTGTATTAAAATTCATTTATTAAATAAAATGATTAGTATAATTACTTATTTATTTGAAAAAATATAACTGACATAAACCAATCTAATAAAATCTTGAAAGGTCTTAGTTGCTTCCTAGCTTGTCCAGAGATTTCCGGTTTTATGTGATTATCCTGGTTTAACTATTAATAAACAAGCATTCTCTTTCCTAGTCTTAAGTGTTCTGGTTTAGATAATACAAAATTATGGTTATTAGCACATATACCTTTATTAACCCTCAGTTAAAAAAATTTAAATTTCTCTTTCCCTATCTATGCTGGCTTACTAAATCACTACTGTATTTACTCATAAGATGTACATACAACACATGTATACAGTTTGCTTTATGATGAATATGGAAAGGCATAAAGACAAGAAGCACACCTTCTGGCATACTCATTCTGGTTTGTAACAAAAGCTTGTTCTGGATCCATCCCCACAAGGCGAGTTGGAAAACTGCAACCATCACCCAAGCTGCATAATGAAAAATAGTAGTAATAATTTAAACAATGTTAAGTTAAATCAAAATAGTCAAATTTAACACTCATTTTTCATAGACATGACATAAATGATCATAACTTGTCATATCAGGGAGTAATTCCTAAGATTTCTAATTTAGGGATTATTACACTGATATGGTTTGGCTGCGTCCTTATCCATATCTCATCTTGAATTGTAGCTCCCATAATTCCCACATATCAGGGGAGGGGAGGGGAGTGGGAGGTAACTGAATTATGGGGGGCGAGTTTTTCTTGTGCTGTGGTTGTGATAATGCATAAGTCTCATGAGATCTGATGGTTTTATAAAGCGGAGTTCCACTGGCACATACTCTCTTGTCTGCCACCATGTAAAACGTGACTTTGCTTCTCCTTGCCTTCCACTATGATTATGAGGCCTCTCCAGCCATGTGTGAGTCAATTAAACCTCTTTCCTTTATACATTACTGAGTCTCAGATATGTCTTTTTTTAAATTATTTTTTATTTTATTTTATTTTTGAGATGGAGTTTCGCTCTTGTTACCCAGGCTGGAGTGCAATGGCGCCATCTTGGCTCACCGCAACCTCCGCCTCCTGGGTTCAGGCAATTCTCCTGCCTCAGCCTCCTGAGTAGCTGGCATTACAGGCATGCACCACCACGTCCAGCTAATTTTTTGTATTTTTAGTAGAGACGGGGTTTCACCATGTTGACCAGGATGGTCTCGATCTGTTGACCTCATGATCCACCCGCCTCGGCCTCCCAAAGTGCTGGGATTACAGGCTTGAGCCACTGCGCCCGGCCAGATATGTCTTTATTAGCAGTGTGAGACCAGACTAATAGCTCCATTGCAGACATAAGCCCTTTTCTTTTATAATTTATATATATTTAGAAACAATGTCTTCTGTACCTATTAAGATTATGATGCCTAGCATAGCACCCCAACCACAGGTATTCAAGTATCTGGGTAACTGATCTGCTTATCATAATCACTTATGACATCATTCAGGCTCAAATTGAAATTCATAATTTAAGTTCCACATACTTATTTATTCAACAATATTCATTAAACAAATATTTAGCGAATGCCTATGATGTTCTAGGTACTATTTTAAGCATTACAGATAGTGAACAAAAGAGAAGAAAATCTCTGCCTTCAAGAAGCTTAGGGTCTAATAAGAGCATACTTATGCCTTATTTTCATATTATTTAAACACATCAAAATTGTATATTATAGGAACTTTTACTTCTAGCGAAGATGGCATAACTAGTAAACTGTGCATAGTCAGAAACTGAACAGTACAAAATAACTGTTTTCAAAATAGGCAGTAGAGAACTGTGGTCTTAGAAAAAAAGAAAAACAAAACTAAGTGAGTCCCAGCTTTCTGCCAGGACCTTGGCACTATCGGGGGCAGTAAACCAAGCAGAACAAGGTAGTTTCACTGAATTGAGATGACAGAGGCGGGAGTTTTGAGGCTGAGGTGGGCTGGGGGCAGTGACTCACGCCTGTAATCCCAGTACTTGGGAGGCAGAGGCAAGCAGATCACTTGAGGTAAGGAGTTCAAGACCACCCTGGCCAACATGGTGAAATAGTCTCTATCAAAAACATAAAAGTTAGCTGGCTGTGGTGGTGTGTGCTGTAATCCTAGCTATTAGGGGGACTGAGGAATGAGAATCACTTGAATCTGGGAGGCAGAGATTGCAGTGAGCCGAGATCGCACCACTGCACTCCAGCCTGGGCATTCAGCCTGTCTCACCTGGATACAGAGTAAGACTCTATCTCAAAAAATAAAAATAAAAATAAAAAAATAAAAAAATAGAGCGAGCGAGAAGCTGAGGTTTCTTAAATCTACGAGACAGAGTTGAGACAGAGAAAGAGCAAGATACGCAGAGAAATGGCTACAGAAATCTGCAAGTGGTGTACTTGAGTCTTTTGATAAATACTAAGCTGCACATGTGAATCCAGGGAAAAAAAAACAATAACGAATGATGAATAATTCACAGAGCTTTCACAGCACTGGCAAGCATTCAAATTTGACCAGCTTGAGTGGAGTGAAACTGAACACACGGATTTCGTAGAGACCCTACCTTTATTGGAGCACTAAACTAGCTGTAGAGGAAGTACTACTCTGGACTCAACACAAAGCTTAATACAAGCCTCAGGCCAAGAGTGGTAGTAATGTCTGTAATCCCAGCCCTTCAGGAGGCCAATCTAGATAGGTACAATGTAGCATTCAAAGTGTCCACCACCCAATTAAAAATTACTGGACGTGAAAAGCAGCACAGATGTGATCTACAGCTAAGAGGAAAAAAAAAAAAGTCCATACAAAAAAATCAGAAAATTAGCAATTTCATTGAAAATTAGCAAACAAAACTTTAAAATGATTATAAACATACCTGTGAATTAAAAGGAAAAATAGATATAGTGAAAAGAGAAATATAAGATATATACATAAAAAAAAAACACTGAACTTCTAGAGCTGAAAATTACAGCATCTGGGCCAGGCATGATAGTTCATGCCTGTAATACCAGCACTTTGGGAGGACAAGGTGGGTGGACTGCTTGAGGCCAGTAGTTTCAGACCAGCCTGGTTAACATGGTGAAACTCTGTTTCTCCTAAAAATAACAAAAATCAGCCAGGCGTGGTGCCACACGCCTGTAATTTCAGCTTCTTTGCAGAGTTTCTTGAGAATTGCTTGAACCCAGGAGGCACAGGTTGCAGTGAACTGAGATTGTGCCACTGCACTCTAGCCTGGGTGACAGAGCAAGACTCTGTCTCAAAATAAGTAAGTAAATAAAAAATTTTAAAAAAATCTTAAGTGAAAGATTCATTGGAGGAGCTTACCAGTAGACTAGATATTATAGAAGAAGAGATCAGTGAACTTGTGAACATTATCAGCAGAAACTAACCAAAATGAAGCAAAGAGAGAAAAGAAGATGACAGAGAAGGACAAAATAGCAATGACCTGTGGGTCACTATCAAGCAATTTACATATGTATACCTGAGAGTACCAGAAAAGGTAGTCAGGGAAGAGGTGAAAAGAAGTAGGTAGAAAAAAAATTTAAAGACATAATTGATTGAAATTATTCAAATATTATGAAAACTATAAACTCACAGATCCAAGGAGCCTAATGAACCCCAGGTAGGATAAACACCAAGGGACCTCATCAAACTGCTTAAAACCAGTGATAAGGATAAAATCTTAAAAGTAGCTATAGGAGGGAAAAGGATAGTAATTTACAAACAATGAAATAAAGATGGGAGTCAAGCTGACTTTTTATCAGAAACAATGCAGACCAGAAGTTAATGGAACATCTTTAAAGGAAGGAAAACAAACAAAAAACAACAAAATCTTTTCGACTTAGAATTTGCTGTTGACAGAAAATAACTTCAAAACTTCTGTTTAGAGAAAATAACTTCAAAACAAGTAATCTGTGTTCCAACCAATGGGAGGGGAAAAATCTTGAATATGTAAGACAATGGATAAAGTATACAAAAGAGATTGATGAACTTGAAGACACAGCAAAAGAATCTATACAAAATGAAACAAAGAAAAAAGACAACAAAAAATGAACAATGCATCAGTGAGCTGTGAAAGGACTCTGAGTGACTAATAACACATGTAACTGGAGTCCCTAGGGGGAGGGAGATGACAGAAGAAATAATGGTTAACAACATTTTCCAAATCTGATGAAAGCTCTAAAACCAGAGATTCAAGAAGCTCAACTAATCCCAAGCACAAGAAACAAGAATACTAGACTGAAATATATCATAACCAAATTGCATGAGGTAGTAATAGTCTTAAAAGTAGCCATAGGAAAAAAATTATATATAGACTAACAAAAATAAGAGTTACCACAAATTTCTCATTAAAAAAATGCCAACCAGAAGCATAACATTTAGCAACAGCTAAAATTTTGTTTTGTTTTGTTTTTGAGACAGAGTCTTCCTCTGTCGCCCAGGCTGGATTGCAGTGGTACCATCTCGGCTCACTGCAACATCTGCCTTCCAGGTTCAAGCAATTCTTGTGCCTCAGCCTCCCAAGTAACTGGGACTACAGGTGTGCTGCACCACACCCAGCTAATTTTTGTATTTTTAGTAGACACTGGGTTTCACCATGTTGTCCAGGCTGGTCTTGAACTTCTGACCCTAAATGATTCACCAGTCTTGGCCTCTCAAAGCGCTGGGGGTACAGGCTGGGATTACCCACTGTGCCTGGCCAACATCTAGAATTTTATACCAAGCAAAAATGTCTTTAAAAAATGAAGGCAAATAAGTCATTTTCAGACTAAAAAAAAAATAATTCAGTTAATTGAGGGAAAAAACTCATAACTCTTACAAATATGTCGCTCAATCTTCATATATTTTTGCCTTCTTTATGATACACAGCTGGCCTAAAATGGATGGAAATTAGAAAGAAATGGAAACTATAAATCATCTCAAGCATACATTCTCATTTACATTTGGGATAAAATTGCAACATGTGGTTGGTCTTTGATTTAGGACACAACAGAATACGTAGTTCACTTCTGTGGTAGTTGTGGGTGATAACTATAAATTTTTATAATTTTTTTTACTTCAAACAACTTATTTCCATTTTGAGGGAAAAATCTTGTTCTTCTATTTTCCATTCAAATATATATTTAAATTCTCTTTAACCTTATCTAATTAAAAAATGAAAAATAAACTATATTATGTTTGAAAAAGACATTTTGAGTTTTCATCCTCAAAGCCTGTAAGGCTATCAATATGTATTATAGTCTCTAAATCTGAAGACATTTAACCAGAAAAACAGAGCACCATGGATTCCATAATCTCTGAGACCCACATTTTATAAATTACCTTGAAAATATTGGAAGTAGCCAATATTTCTTTTCGTCACCAAAGACTTGTCTCCAATTTTTACTGTATCCAAGAGAGAAACCATTTCCATCAGGTCCATATGAAAATGTGGGTGCGCGGAATGATTCTGTTAAATATACATATATATATATATATATATAAGCTAATTAATCTATTTAAAAATCAAAGGAGGGACGGAAAACACCAATTTTCTTGCTTATATCTTTGACCTAAAAACTATAAATATAATTTAAAATAAATAATATATTGGTAGCAATTAAAAGATAAATTTCTGAAACTTCTTTTGGGGAAAAATAGCACATTTAATATTTCATCAACCTTATAAAATAACATGGCAAAATAATTACCTAATATTACTGAAAATCTAATATTGTATGCTATCTCTGACTTGGCTTTTATTTCCAAAAGATAACCTAATTCCTGCAACTTCACTCATTATTTATGAATCTTCTACTATGTTTCTGATAGCACAGACTAGATATTTGGGATCCAGAGATAAATTAGATAAAATTCCTACCAAAGAACCTAGAGTCTAGCAAAATTACAGTGTAATAAGTGATAACATAGTCCTGATGTACCGGGGAGCACAGAGGTGAAGAGAGGAAGATAATTTTGTCTGGATAGTGACATATGTGTGCCTTGGGGGTACTTGCAGGGAAAGGTGAGCAAGCTCAGGGTGACTAGACCATTATTTCAAGCTTGGTTATCAAGTGATGTAGAGCGAGGTCTGGAGAAAGATACAGGCTTCACAAAAAATGTTTTTTAATTTAAAAATGGAATACACTTCAGTGTGTTTTATAAGATAAGGATAAGAAGCCAGGGCATTGGGAGGGATTGATGACATAAAAAGTAAAATAAAAACTGAAGAATGGGATCCTAGAGAAGATGGAAAGGAGTCTAGAAAAGTTGTGAAGATTAACCTTGAATACCAGAAAAGGCATCCTTCTTCCTCAGATGTCAGAGGCAGATGAGAATGGTGGGAGTGAAAGAAGAAATGTTTGTATGAGGCTATAAACATGTGAAGATGAGAGTTACTTGTAATTTCTTCTAATTTTTCTATTAGTGACTCATAAAATGGATAAGGAGAGTGGGAGAATTATGAAAATCTGGAATAATTGTCTTGGGTAATAGTTGGGGGACCTGACCAGAAACATGTGACATTACTACCAGAGCTAAGGCCCTCAATGAGGCTTAACATCCGAAATCTGTAGCTATAGTAAATCTTATGAAGGAAGACATCCTTCAACAGCTTTCAGCAGCCTCACTGCACATGGGATAAAGAAGATGGTTGGATAACCAGAGCCATGAATTAGCAAAGGATCTCGAATGGACATGGGTGAGAAATAAAACCAGAAGGGAAAGAAAAACTTGGGAGAAAACTGTTGGAGAATGGAGGACTCAGGAAGTACATCAGAATACAGCAAATTGTCAGAGAGTAACATATTCAAGTTTAAAATTTCATTTTCAGAGGCTCTTCAGTTCTAAGTGATTAAAAACCTCAACGTGTGGCTGTGGGAATGAGTGGCCATCAGAATCAAAGGGACTAGCTTGCCTATTTGGGATAGTGGCATTAGCTTAAATGTAGGAACTCACTAAATGTGGGTAAATGATCTAAAGGTGGGTTGGTGGCAATTATGAAAACGACAGAGGTGATACAGCAGAATAAGACACCCTTCAGAGGATCCAAAAACAAACATCTCAATGTAGTTGTGGAGAACTAGCTAAAGAAGAGGGCTGTGGGAGTTGAAGCTGTAAAAAAGTGGTGTGCTAAGCAATGTTTTTTCAAAGTGTGGGTTAAAACAGCTTGATAGGCCACATAATCAACTGAATGACTTGCAACCAGCATTTCCTTTTAAGAAACTAGAAAAGAAAATATCAGAATACAGTGCACATAATAGAGATTAATGAGGTTTTGTGAAACTTTTGCTTATTTTATTTATATAATTTTAAAAATATTTGTGCATGTTCTAAGTCATGATGTAAAATGCTGCATTTCTTACTGTGGCCACTGGCAAAAAAAGAAGTTTGAAAAAGATTGCTGAAGAGAACAGCAGGTTCCCTGGAAGTGCCAATCTCTCACATACTTATAGGGGCTGGGCAGGAAACAAAGGCACGACTGGCAAGACCAGTAGCAAATGACAGTGTACATGCCCTATCTAAATCTATGCCCTATCTAGGGCAGTCCACCACTGATTAGTTCCATTTCACTGATGCCAAGTGGGAAAATGTGCCTACTACTACTAGACTTATCAGTTTTGAAACGAAGAAATCTGGTTTTCTTTGTGAAATCTCTCACACAGATTTTATTGGTTGGGGAGAACTTCAGGGCTGGACTTTGCCTGTAGGCTGCCTTTCTGTTATTTTCAATTAAAGGTAAAGAGATGGCAGAATATTCTATAAAGAGGACAAAAATAGTTAATAGGGATAAGAAATTTTGTTTACATGGAAAAGGGATGAAAGCATGATGGAATTGGAGAAGAGTTCAACAGTGGAGGATAGAGAAATCCTCACACAGGAAGCCCACCATAACTTACAATACCGCTCAGTAACACATTAAAATGATCCAATACTAAAGCATCTACATGTCTCCCCCCAAATCCCTTAATCTTTCTGTAATTAAAACTGTTTCCCCCCAACTGCAGAGAGCCAGAGTAGCCCACCCCCTCTAGGGGGATCAGCAGCAAGACTGCTGTAAACTTTGGCTGAATTCCAAGATAAGTGAAACCATAATAGGGGAATGGGTATGTCTCTGAGAAGAGCAGTCAGACCTAGCAAAAGATAACCAGCTTTCACTGACCTTGCTGCAAGATAGTTGTTAGCTGAGATATGTTAACTGAAGTATGAGAACTATAACCACAGGCTGTTCTGGGTAACTGCACCCTCCCTCTGCTATATGCTTTGTGAACATATAAAGTACTCTGAGGCAGGACGGGGCTGGCAGACCCAAATTACCTGGCAGATATATGGCTGTAGATTGCAAGTGAATTTTACTTTTTTACAAAACATTACCATAAAAATCCTTATTTTGTGCCTTGGTATGTTAGCAGATATATAAATATTTCAATTATAACAGCAGTGCCTCTTATATGCCAATAGTTCAGTGAGCAATGCCACCATTGTTGTTTAGGGAATGTTTGTCCAATTACTTGAAAACATTACTTTTCCCCCTATATTTTCACTTTTTTAAATGAGCAAACTAAAAAATAAATGCTAATACTAGTGACACAATACATAAATTACACTGACAACTGACACAAAGATGAATATAATGAAGCATGTCAAAAGCACTATTCCTTAGCCTCAGTCACAAAACATATGCCAGTTAAATGTGTTAAACTGTGGGGAAAAAAGTAAAGAATGTATATGGGCTGGGCAAAGTGACTGACATCTGAAATCCCAGCATTTTGGGAGGTGGAAGTGGGAGGATCACTGGATCCTGGAAGTTTGAGACCAGCCTGGGTAACATAGGGAGACCCTGTCTCTGTGAGAAATAAATAAATTAGCTGGGTGTGGTAGCACACCTGTAGACCCAGCTACTTGGGAGGCTGAGGTGGGAACACTGCTTAAGTCCAGGAGGTCAAGGCTGCAGTGAGCTGTGACAGCACTACTACACTCTAGCTTGGGCAACAGAGTGAGACTCTGTATCAAAACAAAGGAAAAAAATATGTATATATAGGCACATGAAATACATTGTTATGTTTTAGCTAAAAGATAAGCTGTAATTGAGAATTTAAAGGTTTTCTTATTTGACAGCAAACTGCCTAAAGCATGTAAATCTACTGTCTATCTCTCATAGATTAAGTTATTTTTTTTTTTGAGATAGGGTCTCACTCTCATTGCCCAGGCTGGAGTGCAACGGTGCAATTCTGGCTCACTGCAGCTAGTTTTTTTTTTTTTTTTTTTTGTATTTTTATTAGAGACAGGGTTTCACCATGTTGCCCAGGCTGGTCTTGAACTCCTGGACTCAAGCAATTCCACCCACCTTTGCCTCCCAAAGTGCTGGGATTATAGGCATGAGCCACTGTGCCTGTAATAGATTAATTTTTGAAATGACACTATATAATGTAGGAAACAGTTTTTATTTATTAAAATTTGGAAAACAATTCTCGACTTTGATATATAACACACTACTGAAAATATGTTAAAAAGTCAATCTTACTTCCTCAACCTTCTCCAAAGTAATGAACCTTTATTATAAAACCATTGTCCCCATCCAGTCACAATTAATTTTACTACAGAATTCTTTTATTATTGTTATTTTTTAGATGCTGGGTCTCCTTATGTTGTCTAAGCTGTCCTCCAGGGCTCAGGCAATTCTCCTCCCTCAGTCTCCTGAGTAGCTGGAATTATTAGGCATATGCCACCTATTCCAAATTCAGAATTGTCTTACACCTCTCTATCATCTGAACCTTGTCCTTCTCTAGATGTCATATTCATTTATGGCCATTGTCTTAAGTAATTATAATTTATTTTAACCTACTTACCTATTGTTGTTCTATTTTTTCCAACTAGCCAGCAGTGGTAGCTGAAAAGTGAGAGGACGCTAATGAAGAACATTGCAGACACAAAGAAAAGAAAAAGGACGTGGAATTTTGCACGTGTATCTGTCAGTTCATTCTGAGGAGGAAAAAAAGAAGTTAATTTTGAGAACAGTCAACCTCTAAAATATAATTTGTAAGATAGTTCTGCCTAAAGATTGTTGAATGTATCAAAAAAATTGCCATATATGAAAAATAATACATTAATATACCTCAAAGCAACAACTGCAAAAGCAAAGAACTGGTATTATCAATCCAACTTGCTTATCTAGGAGTTCAGGAAGAGTCATTTAAAATATTGCTCTTAATTTTTTTTTTTCTTTAAATTTTATCTTGGCATGGTGGTGTTTACCTGTAATTCCAGCTATTGGAGAGAGTGAGGCAAGAGAGTCACTTGAGCCTAGGAGTTTCAGGCCAGCCTGGGCAATACAGTGAAACCCTGTCTCTTTAAAAAAAAAAAAAAAAAATATATATATATATATATATATATAGCAATACTTTCAGTAATAAAGTGAAAAGATGGACTCTTCTACCCAAAATATTTTCTTTTGTACTTTATGTATATATTCAAGCTTTTTCCAACACCCAGAATACATAAGCTCCCCATATCTATACTAAAATACTTGCTTATTTTAGTTAGATTTGCTGCTAACTAAAAACTAGTTGTGATGTATTTTAAACCTGTCTAATCTCTATTTTCAGAACACGACTGAAAGGTGCCCATGCCTTCAGCTGCTTAAATTCCTACACTGTTCATCTGTGTTTCTATAGAGCCTTTGTGTATAGTTAGCAATTTTGATAAATAAATTTACAAAAAGGTATTAATGAATGAAACAGCTTCTCTGGTATCCCTTCTTATGACTATATACATTTTAACAGAAGCAAACTAGAGCTTAGAAGAAATCAGTATCTTTAATAAAGGAGGCCTTCAACTATTAGCTCTTAAAATAAACCACATGGGCAAAGCACTTACTCCACCAAAACACGAGGCTGTCCTGCTTGATTTAAAAAGTATTACAGACTAAAAGAAGGTTATTAGTATTGGATTATATTATTTTGACATTGATCTTTTTCTCTTTTTCTCCAGAGTAACCAACATACGTTTCAAACATATCAAGTGAGTCTTCTACCTGGTCATCTTGTGAAGCAAATTTTTATTAAACATATTCACTATAAATGTCACAAAAGAGATCATGAGAATGTCATGGTAATGATGTATTTTACCTTTGGACAACTCTCTGTAGATTTCCTGCGGCAAAGCTTGTGCAAATAGAGACAATATATTAAGAAACCAATTTTTATACGAAATTATCTTAGTTTTATAAATCCTATTAAAGGAAAACTAAGATGTTGCTTTCTGTGGCCATCTACAACATTTTCTCGAGAAATACAAGAGAAAATAGACAAGAACATGTGGCTCTTCAAGCACATTTCCTTTTTTTTTTTAAAAATAGTACAAGGTATTGGCTGGATGCAGTGGCTCACACCTGTAATCCCAGCACTTTGGGAGGCTGAGGTGGGTGGATCACTTGAGGTTGGGAGTTTGGACCAGCCTGGCCAACATGGTGAAACCGTGTCTTTACTAAGAATACAAAAACTAGCCAGGTGTGTTGGTGCACGCCTGTAATCCCAGCAACTTGAGAGGATGAGGCAGGAGAATCGCTTAACCCGTGAGGCAGAGGTTGCAGTTAGCCATGACTGCGCCACTGCACTCCAGCCTGGGCAACACAGTGAGTCTCAAAAAAAAAAAAAAAAAAGATACGAGGTCTCATTAGGGCGCCAGAGCTAGGACTAGTCTTGAATTCCTGGTCTTAAGTAATCCTCCTGCCTTGGCATCCTAAAGGGCTGGGACTATAGGTGTGAGCCACCCGCACCCAGCCTTCAGATACATTTCCAGTCAGTTTTTAAAGCAAAGATTGATGTCTGGGGAAGAATAAAACAAAATGTTTTTAGCCAATATTGAAAACAAACTTCTGACTAGCAGTTTCCAAAAACTAGATCTGATGACTTCTTACCACCTTCACTGCTTCTACTTTATTCCAGCCAGGATGCTGCAACAGCCTCTACCACGTGAGCCTGTATGTTGGCACTTGCCCTCTCCCAACTATTCTCAGCTCAGCAATCAGTGAGCCTTGCACAAGTCAAATCATGTCCCTACCTGGCTGCCAGAAAAAGCCACAGTCCTTCCGATACTCTCTAAGTCCCTCTGTCATTTTGGACCCTCTTGGTCCATTCCTTTCTCCTTTCTGCTCATTCTGCCCCAGCCACAGTAGCCTCCTTGTGTTACTAAAACATGGCAGGGACACGTACCATGTTCTCTGTGCCTGAATGCTCTTCTCTCGGATATCCATTAATTCCCTTCAAGTTTTTGCTCAAATCCTACCTTCTAAATGAGGTCTAGCTGACTGTGCCGTTCAATCCTGCCACCTGCCCTAACATGCCACCGCCCAATACTTAAATCCCTTACCCTGATCATTACTACTTGTCCCCCTCCTTCTCAAAAGCAAGCTCTACAAAGACAGAACTCTGCCTGTTTTTTCAGTGATATACTACAAGTCTTTAGAGGTACTACTTGCCATATAGTAGGTACCAAATACATATTTCTTGAATGAATGAAGAAAAAGGCAGATTTATGTTTACTAATCTTTTTTTTACTCAGAATTCAAAAAAGTTATTCATTCTTGAACAAATCATTACATACAAAAATTGCTGAATTTTCTGATAGAGAAATGTGAAATTAAGTAATTTAAATTTCATCTATCTGGCACTGAATAGTTCTGTTTAAATAAGGGTCCCTGAGTATGGTTAGTATGTTGTAAACTGAACAAAGGTGCCCAGCTAAGGGAGAAATTAGAAGACAAAATTCATAAGGCTGACACCATATAGGTAGGGGTGTTCTCCTCTAATACGTGCAAAGGCATTGTAAGTGCTAGCATCCTCTGGTTTTAAATACCCAAACTTTTTTTTTTCTTTGAGATGGAGTTTTGCTCGTTACCCAGGCTGGAGTGCAATGGCACGATCTCGGCTCACTGCAACCTCCGCCTCCTGGGTTCCGGCAATTCTCCTGCCCCAGCCTCCTGAGTAGCTGGGATTACAGGCGTGCGCCACCATGCCCAGCTAATTTTTTGTATTTTTAGTAGAGATGGGGTTTCACCATGTTGACCAGGATGGTCTCCATCTCTTGACCTCGTGATCGACCCTCCTTGGCCTCCCAAAGTGCTGGGATTACAGGCTTGAACCACCGCGCCCGGCTAATACCCAAACTTTAAACATCTAATCGTGTTTAAATCCTTCTAAAATGTAATAGGTATCTCCTCGAAATATAATTGTGCTTGAAGACTCAGGGCTTTAATTATATTCCTCCTAACTATGACTATGAGTAGCAAGTTATAGTGGAAAGTACCTGATGTTGGAATAGCCAGATTTTAGTTTAAATTTTGGCTTCCTATGTTATTAAGTATGTGACTTTGGGTAGCTGCATAATTTCTCCAATTGGTTTCCAACTCTGAAAACTGAAATAATAATGACCCTTTCAATATCCTTCCTTCCTTCCTCCCTCCCTCCCTTCCTCATTCTTCTCCTCCTCCCCTTCCTCATCTCTCCATCTTTCTCTCTCTCTCTCTCTTTCTTTGACAGAGTATCGCTCTGTCACCAGGCTGGAGTGCAGTGCTGCAATCTTGGCTTACTGCAACCTCTGCCTCCTAGGTTCCAGCGATTCAACTGTCTCAGCCTCCCGAGCAGCTGGGACTACAGGCGTGTGCCACCACACCCAGCTAATTTTTGTATTTTTGTAGAGATGGGGTTTCACCATGTTCCGGCCAGGATGGTCTTGATCTCCTGAACTCATGATCTGCCTGCCTCGGCCTCCCAAAGTGCTGGGATTACAGGTGTTAACCACCGCGCCTGGCCCTATTTTCTTATTTTCTATATTCCTGATGGTCTGGCATCTGGGGCCTCACTAACTAGAGAGAAACTGCCCCTTCCAGGGCTAGCCAGTTCTTAAGAGCGAGCAAACCACTCACCCAGGAGCACATCTTTCATACGCAAACTAAACAATCCAGATCCTACACATTGAGAACCATCTCTTCTATCTGGCTTTTATACTGCAGAAGGCAGCAGTCCTCTGCCTTCATCATCCCAGGACCAGGTACAAGACAACTAGAGGTAGCCCCGATACCTGAGTCCTCTGCAATTCCTTGAGCCAGCCAATCCAAAATCTACTTATTCTGCCTTCCCTACAGGAACCACAGTAAAGGCTTGGGGTCCCACCTGGTGCTTCCTATCCTGGGGCCCCTTCCTCTTGGCACTGTGAGTAACAAACTATCTTCTCAGTGGCAACTGTCTTCTGATCTGCTGGCCTCACCATACCTGAATAATAACAAAAACTATATTTTAAAACACCTTCACAAGGTTTTTAGGAAGAGTAGATGTAAAAGTACTTTTTAACCACAATAATCCCTCTTCCAAAATCAGAGATTTAAAGGTAAAAATGAAAACAACAAAAGTGCCAGACGAAAAAAATAGGTCAATATCTGTATAAATTTATATGGAATAGGCAACAGACAGGTATCACATATAAAAAGAACTGCTTAAAAAATGTACAACTTTGATGTGACAAAAACAAAACAAAACAGGATTGGTAAGACATAAACAGAAAATGCGGGCCAGATGTGGTGGCTCACACCTATTATCCCAGTACTTTGGGAGGTTGAGGTGGATGGATCACCTGAGGTCAGGAGTTCAAGACCAGCCTGGCCAATATGGCGAAACCCCACCTCTACTAAAAATACAAAAATTAGCCAGGCATGGTGGTACACACCTGTAGTCCCAGCTACTCGGGAGGCTGAGGCAGGAAAATCTCTTGAACCCAGGAGGAGGAGGTTGTAGTGAGCCGAGAATGCGCCACTGCACTCCAGCCTGGATGACAGAGTAAGACTCCATCTCAAAATAACAACAATGACAACAAACCCCAGAAAACGTGAAAAAAACATTTACAACCTATCACAGAAAAAGGATTAATATCTTTAGGAATGTCTCACATATTCTGGATAGGAGTCCTTTGTGAGATATATACATTGTAAATATCTTCTCCCAGTCAGTAGCTTGCCTTTTCACTCTAAAAGTCACCTTTTTATAAAAAGTTCTTTATTTTAATGAAGCCAAATTTATTGATCTTTTCTTTCATGGTTAGTGATTGCTATGTTCAATGATAAGAAATCCTCATTTGGGCCAGGTGTGGTGGCTTATGCCTGTAATCCTAGCACTTGGAGAGGCCAAGGCAGGCGATCACCTGAGGTCAGGAGTTTGAGACTAGCCTGGCCAACATGGTGAAACCCCGTCTCTATTAAAAATACCAAAAAAATTAGCCAGGCATAGTGGCGCACACCTATAGTCCCAGCTACTCGAGAAGTTGAGGCAGGATAATCACCTGAACCCAGGAGGCAGAGGTTGCAGTGAGTTGAGGTCATGCCATTGTACTCCACCCTGGGTGACAAGAACCAAATTCCCTCTCAAAAAAAAAAAAAAAAAAAAAGCAAAGAAAGAAACCCTCATCTAACTCAAGGTCAAGAATAAAGATTAGTGGCTGGGCAGGTTGGCTCACACTTGTAATTCCAGCACTTTGGGAGGTTGAGGCAGGAGGACTATTTGAACCCAAGACTTATAGACAAACCTAGGCAACATGGTGAAACCCCGTCTCTAAAAAAATACAAAAATTAGCCAGGTGTGGTGGTGCCTGCCCATGGTCCCAGCTACTTGGGAGCCTGAGGCACAAGGGTTGCTTGAGCCTGGGAGATTGAAGCTACAGTGAGCTGTGACTGCACCTGCACTCCAGCCTGGGAGACAGAGTGGGACCCTATCTCAAAAAGAATAAAGATTAGTATCTCGAATATAAGAAAAACTCCTTCATGTGTAAATATAAAAACCTACTAGAAATAGGCAAATAACACAATAGAAACTTCACAAAAAAGACAAAGCTGGTGGCTAGCAAAGCATATCCTCATTAAGTATAAGCAAAGTATTTTACTCTGCTCATAAATTGGCAGGCACTGTACTTAAGAAAGGGAGAAGGCTGGGTGTGGTGGCTTACACCTGTAATCCCAGCACTTTGGGAGGTGGACGGATCACCTGAGGTTGGGAGTTCGAGACCAGCCTGACCAACATGGAGAAATCCTATCTCTACAAAAAAAAAAGAAAGGGAAAGGGAAAAAGGGAAGGGGAGGGAGGGAAGGAAGGAAGGAAGGGAGGGAGGGAGGGAGAGAAAAAAGACAGAAAATGAGGAGATGAAGGGTCTAAACCATGTCTGTGATATTAGGAATAGAAATGATTTGAGGCACAGAGTCGGAAAAAACAAACTAAAAAACATCTGACTGCTTTCTATGTATTTACACTATTTAATCTTTACATCAATCCTCACTTTTAAAAATGAAAGAACAAAGAGTCTGAAATTTAAGTATCTTCATTTTGGCTATTCATTCAGCAAATATTTACTGAACACATACTGTGTGCTGGCCAATATTCTGGGTGATTGAGAAACATAAATAAATGAACATTCTTGCTCTCACGGAGCTTAGATTCTGGCAAATAAATACATACATGGCATTTACATACAAACAAGGCTCTTTTTTTTTTCTTTTTTTGAGACAGAGTCTTGCTCTGTTGCCAGGCTGGAGTGCAGTGGCACCATCTAGGCTCCCTGCAACCTCCGCCACCCAGGTTCAAGCAATTCTCCTGCCTCAGCCTCCCAAGTAACTGGGGCTACAGGCATGAGCTACCATGCCTGGCTAATTTTTTGTATTCTTTTAGTAGAGCTGGGCTTTCACTGTGTCAGCCAGGATGGTCTCAATCTCCTGACCTTGTGATCCACCTGCCTCAGTCTCTCAAAGTGCTGGGATTACAGGCATGAGCCACCACGCCTGGCCACAAAATTAATTTTTTTTTCCTAGTATACCACGCTGGTTCTATACTTCAGTTTCATAAGGAGTAACAATAATTCCAGGATGCTGTTAGTTTTTCTAGCCTGGAAACTGACAGATTTGTACAGATTTTGTTCCCAATCAGATAAATATAGAAAGAACAGTGAAAAGAAAATGAGGGTGGTTTCCGACGTGCTGATTTTTATGGTGTCTTCCTCATGTTTGCTGGTTCAATAAATAGCAACTGGAAACAGGGGATTGGACTCAGGCCATGTGAGAGCTAGGGCTAGGAACAGCAATTGTGAATGCCACAGGAGACACGCAATAACCCAGAAACACACTAGAGAGAACCAACAGTGAGACAGCCCAGGATTGAATCTATATTTAAAGGGCTAAAGGGGAAAGAGAAAGGAATGAATATTATCTTGAAACTTAAAGAGAGAGTTTAGATGAAGGAGAAAGTTTGTATTTACTTTGAAATTATTTCTTGGCTGGGCATGGTGGCTCATGCTCATAATCCCAGCATTTTGGGAGGCCGAGGTGGGTGAATCACTTGAAGTCAGGAGTTGGAGACCAGCTTGGCCAACCATGGTGAAATCCTGCCTCTACTGAAAATACAAAAATTAGCTGGGCATTATGGTGGGCACCTGTAATCCCAGCTACTCGGGGAGGCTGAGGCAGGAGAATCACTTGAACCTGGGAGGCAAAGATTACAGTAAGATGAGATCACACCAGTACACTCCAGCCTGGGTGACTGAGTAAGACTCCATCCAAAAAAATTAAATTAAATTAAATAATTTCTAAATTTTATTAAAATGGTACATGCACAGAGAAAATTAAACTAATGCTAAAAAGCTATTAATGAAAAACGGCAGTTCTCCCACTTCCAAGAGGCAGTTACTTTCAATGTTTTTGGTAGTTTTCCCCCCAAAATATCTACTTCCATACTAGAAAAATTTTAAAACTGTATTTGTCTGTTCTGAATACATTACTATTTGTCCATGTTATACAAAATTCAAAGGATAACTGTAAAAAGCATGTGTCCCTTTAAGTGACCTTCCCAAAGGCAACCACCGTTAGGAATTTTTTACTGCATTCTTCCAGATAAGACATATACAAATATACAGACATGTTATTTTGCTGTGCAACATATTATATGCATTCTTCTGTGCCTTGTTTTATTCACATTAATAAGAGATCTCAAAGATCACTTCACATCATTTGTTATAAAGAGCTTCCTTATTCTTTCTTAAGCTGCACTGCATTCTTTTGTATAGATATATCATTGTTTTTTGTTTTTTGAGATGGAGTTTCGCTCTTGTTACCCAGGCTGGAGTGCAATGGCGTGATCTCGGCTCACCGCAACCTCCGCCTCCTGGGTTCAGGCAATTCTCCTGCCTCAGCCTCCCGACTAGCTGGGATTACAGGCACGCGCCACCATGCCCAGCTAATTTTTTGTAATTTTTAGTAGAGACGGGTTTTCACCATGTTGACCAGGATGGTCTCGATCTCTTGACCTCGTGATCCACCTGCCTCAGCCTCCCAAAGTGCTGGGATTACAGGCTTGAGCCACCGCGCCCGGCCCAGATATATCATTGTTTAAGGAGACCTCAGTTGATAAGACATTTTATTGTTTTCATTCATTTGCCACTTTAAGAAATGTTGTAAAATCTATTAAGACAGGAAGCAGTTTAGTGGCTGCCTGAGGCTAAGACAACCACTAAACTGCTTCTTGTCTTTATAGATTATATTACCATAAAATTGCAGTATGTCTCACTGACTCAAAGAAAAGCAATTTACTTCCCTAAAATTAATATGTCTTTGTGAGAATGTGGGTGAAAATAATTTGGATCACTAAAAGAGGCTCACTATATCCTGTTTAATATACATTTATTTACAAATAAACATGTGTATATGAGGTAAATTATACCTTATCTGTCCTCTGATCCATTATAAATTCTAACTTGTAAAATTAAACTAAAGTATATCTACTTGTCATAAAAAATGAAGTAATTTGTTAGAAAGATAGCATCTGAAAGTCTTAAATACATGTTTCAAGATAGAAAAAAAGACTTACCGTCCAAAATTTTATAAAGTACTCTAAAACTGTTGCAGCCACAAAAAGGCAATATAATAGAGAATACAATAAAAACAGCAGGAAGAATTTGTAATTTGAAAATCCAACACAGTTATTCACCCTGGAAAAATAAAGAAGGCTACATTGTAAAAGTAAGACAAATCACAAATTCACAGAAATAGAAAGTAGGATGGGGGCTGCCAGGGGCTGATGTGGTCTTTAATGCAATACAATTTCAGTTTTGCAGAATGAAAAAGTTCTGGAGATTAATTGCACAACAATTTAAACATACTTAACACTACTGAACTGTACCCTAAGAAATGGTTAAGATGGTAAATCTTATGAGAGTCTCGCTCTGTTGCCCAGGCTGGAGTGCAGTGGTGGGATCTCAGCTCACTGCAACCTGTGCCTCCCAGGTTCAAGCAATTCTCCTGTCTCAGCCTCCTGAGTAGCTGGGACTACAGGTACCCACCACAACACCTGGCTGATTTTTTGTATTTTTAGTAGAGATGGGGTTTCACCATGTTGCCCAGGTGGCTTTTAAAATAATTAAAATGTAATAATTTAAAATGACAAATTGGACTGGTACAATGGTTCATGCCTGTAATCCTAGTACTTTGGGAGGCCAAGGTAGGTGGATTGCTTGAGTCCAGGAGTTCAAGACCAGCTGGGCAACATGGTGAAATCCTGTCTCTATTAAAAATACAAGAAATTAGCCAGGCATGGTGGTGCATGCCTGCAGTCCCAGCTACTTGAGACTGAGGTGAGAAAATCACCTGAGCCCAGAAGATCGAGGATGCAGTGAGCCAAGATCATGCCACTGCACTCCAGCCTGGGCAACCAGAGACCCTGTTTCCAAAATAAAATAAAACAAATCAAAGAAACACAAAAAAAACATTATTACCTAGAAAGGGGTCATTTGGGAAGTTGAGAGTGGTGTCTTAACTGTGAATGTGTGTACTTAATAAATTATATAAGGAATGTGGAATTTTAATGTTAATTCTTAATACAGTGTTATTTGGATTAATGTCAGCAGGCATTTTTAAAGGAAAACATTTAATATAAATGTGTACATACAAATATATGCATATACATAAAGAGCTTAATCTTAATATCCATGAGTAATCTGGACTTCAAAATTTAGGAATACTGAAGTTACTCTAAATTCTCTTTCCCACCCCCTTATGCAATTTCTTCTATTTTTTAATACATACCAAGGACAATGATGATCCATCTTAAGAACACATCTAGGAAACAAACAAGCATAAGAAAATCCATGCAGAAAAATTCTTCTAATTCTAACTTCTCAATATTTTCTTTTATTGGACTTAAAATTTTCCGTTTACAACTATATCTTAAGAGAATCAACCCAGAAACTAGGTTAGTGATAATTTCTGATACTTCCACACAATGTTCATAGGTAAAAAGTCACAATTTTTACACTGGAAATTCAGCTGAACATATTCAGCTGCCTTAGACCACATCAAATGATACTTTAATATTTAGATCTGGGCTGGGCACAGTGGCTCATGCTATAGTCCCAGCACTTTGAGAGGCAGAGGCAATAGAATCATTTGAAGTCAGGAGTTTGAGACTAGTCTGACTGACATAGTGAGACCCTGTCCTGAAAAACAAAATTCTTATCGGGTGCACAGTACTTGGTATATGACAAGTCCACCTAACAAATTAGCTGAAGGAGATAAATGCAATACAGATGGCCCCTGTTATTTTAAACATATGCAAGTCATAAAAACAAAAGTTTAGAAGAAAATAGGCCAAAATATTAACACTGATGGGCTTGGAGATTTTTTTTCCCACACTCTATAAAATTTTATCCCATGCATAAGCACTACTATATTCTGAAATAAGAGAGAGGAAAAAAAAAAAAATCAAACCCCAAATTTGCCTCCCTACTAGAATATGTATTCTTTTTTTTTTTAATTGCATTTTAGGTTTTGGGGTACATGTGTATAACATGCAAGATAGTTGCATAGGTACACATGTGGCAGTGTGATTTGCTGTCTTCCTCCCCTTCACCCACATCTGGCATTTTTCCCCATGCTATCCCTCCCCAGCTCCCCTGCCTGCTGTCCCTCCCCTATTTCCCCCAATAGACCCCAGTGTGTAGTGCTCCCCTCCCTGTGTCCATGTGTTCTCATTGTTCATCACCCACCTATGAGTGAGAATATGTGGTATTTCATTTTCTGTTCTTGTGTCAGTTTGCTGAGAATGATGTTCTCCAGATTCATCCATGTCCCTACAAACGACATGAACTCATCGTTTTTGATGGCTGCATAATATTCCGTGGTGTATATGTGCCACATTTTCCCAGTCCAGTCTATCATCGATGGGCATTTGGGTTGGTTCCAGGTCTTTGCTATTGTAAACAGTGCTGCAATGAACATTCGTGTGCATGTGTCCTTATAGTGGAACAATTTATAGTCCTTTGGATATATACCCAGTAATGGGATTGCTGGGTCAAATGGAATTTCTATTTCTAGGTCCTTGAGGAATTGCCACACTGTCTTCCACAATGGTTGAACTAATTTATACTCCCACCAGCAGTGTAAAAGTGTTCCTATTTCTCCACATCCTCTCTAGCATCCGTTGTCTCCAGATTTTTTAATGATCGCCATTCTAACTGGTGTGAGATGATATCTCAATGTAGTTTTGATTTGCATTTCTCTGATGACCCGTCATGATGAGCATTTTTTCATACGTTTGTTGGCCTCATGTATGTCTTCTTTTGTAAAGTGTCTGTTCATATCCTTTGCCCATTTTTGAATGGGCTTGTTTGTTTTTTTCTTGTAAATCTGTTTGAGTTCTTTGTAAATTCTGGATATCAGCCCTTTGTCAGATGGGTGAAGTGCAAAAATTTTTTCCCATTCTGTTGGTTGCTGATTCACTCTAGTAACTATTTCTTTTGCTGTGCAGAAGCTGTGGAGTTTCATTAGGTCCCAATTGTCTATTTTGGCTTTTGCTGCCAATGCTTTTGGTGTTTTGGTCATGAAGTCCTTGCCTACTCCTATCCTGAATGGTTTTGCCTAGATTTTCTTCTAGGGTTTTTATGTGGCCAGGTCTTATGTTTACGTCTTTAATCCATCTGGAGTTAATTTTAGTGTAAGGTGTCAGGAAGGGGTCCAGTTTCTGCTTTCTGCACATGGCTAGCCAGTTTTCCCAACACCATTTATTAAACAGGGAATCCTTTCCCCATTGCTTGTTTTTGTCAGGTTTATCCAAGATTGTATGGTTGTAGATATGTTGTGTTGCCTCCGAGGCCTCTGTTCTATTCCATTGGTCTATATCTCTGTTTTGGTACCAGTACCATGCTGTTTTGATTACTGTAGGCTTGTAGTATAGTTTGAAGTCCAGTAGTGTGATGCCTCCTGCTGTTCTTTTTGCTTAAAATTGACTTGGCTATGTGGGCTCTCTTTTGGTTCCATATGAAGTTCAAGGTGGTTTTTTCCAGTTCTGCGAAGAAAGTCAATGGTAGCTTGATGCGGATAGCGTTGATTCTGTAAATTACTTCGGACAGTATGGCCATTTTCACGATATTGATTCTTCCTAACCATGAACATGGAATGTTTCTCCATCTGTTTGTGTCCTCTTTTATTTCGTTGAGCAGAGGTTTGTAGTTCTCCTTGAAGAGGTCCTTTATGTTCCTTGTTAGTTGTATTCCTAGGTATTTTATTCTCTTTGTAGCAATTGTGAATGGCAGTTCGTTCTTGATTTGGCTCTCTTTAAGTCTGTTATTGGTGTATAGGAATGCTTGTGATTTTTGCACATTGATTTTGTATCCTGAGACTTTGCTGAAGTTGCTTATCAGTTTTCAGAGTTTTTGGGCTGAGATGAAGGGTTCTTCTAGACATACTATCATGTCATCTGCAAATAGAGACAGTTTGGCTTCCTACTTTCCTATTTGAATACCCTTTATTTCTTTTTCTTGCCTGATTGCTCTGGCTAGAACTTCCAGTACTATATTGAATAGGAGTGGTGAGAGAGGGCATCCTTGTCTAGTACCAGATTTCAAAGGGAATGCTTCCAGTTTTTGCCCATTCAGTATGATATTGGCTGTTGGTTTGTCGTAAATAGCTTTTATTATTTTGAGACAGGTTCCATCAATACCAAGTTTATTGAGGGTTTTTAGCATAAAGAGCTGTTGAATTTTGTCAAATGCCTTCTCTGTGTCAATTGAGATAATCATGTGGTTTTTGTTTTTGGTTCTGTTTATGTGGTGTATGATGTTTATAGACTTGTGTTTGCTGAACCAGCCTTGCATCCCCGGGATGAATCCTACTTGATCATGGTGGATAAGCTTTTTGATGTGCTGTTGCAATCGGCTTGCCAGTATTTACTGAAGATTTTTGTGTCTATATTCATCATGGATATTGGCCTGAAGTTTTCTTTTCTTGTTGAGTCTCTGCCGGGTTTTGGTATCAGGATGATGTTGGTCTCATAAAATGATTTGGGAAGGATTCCCTCTTTTTGGATTATTTGGAATAGCTTCAGAAGGAATGGTAACAGTTCCTTTGTGTGTCTGGTAGAATTTGGCTGTGAACCCACCTGGACCTGGGCTTTTTTTGTGTGGTAGGCTCTTAATTGCTGCCTCGACTTCTGACCTTGTTATTGGTCTATTCATAGTTTTGACTTCCTCCTGGCTTAGGCTTCGGAGGACACAAGTGTACAGGAATTTATCCATTCCTTCCAGGTTTACTAGTTTATGTGCACAGAGTTGTTTGTAATATTCTCTGATGATGGTTTGAATTTCTGTGGAATCTGTGGTGACTTCCCCTTTATTGTTTTTTATTGCATCTATTTGGTTATTCTCTCTTTTCTTTTTTATCAATCTGGCTAGTGGTCTGTCTATTTTGTTGAACTTTTAAAAAAAACAGCTCTTGGATTTATTGATTTTTTGAAGGGTTTTTCATGTCTCTATCTCCTTCAGTTCTGCTCTGATCTTAGTTATTTCTTGTCTTCTGCTAGGTTTTGAGATTTTTTGATCTTCCTCCTCCAACTCTTTCAATTTTGACGATAGGGTGTCAATTTTGGATCTCTCCACTCTTCTCATGTGGGCACTTATTGCTATATGTTTTTCTCTAGAGACTGCTTTAAATGTGTCCCAGAGATTCTGGCATGTTGCGTCTTCGTTCTCGTTGGTTTCAAAGAACTTCTTTATTTCTGCCTTCATTTCATTGTTTATCCAGTCAACATTCAAGAGCCAGTTGTTCAGTTTCCATGAAGCTGTGCGTTTCTGAGTTAGTCTCTGAATTCTGAGTTCTAACTTGATTGTACTATGGTCTGAGAGACTGTTATGATTTCAGTTGTTTTGCATTTGCTGAGGAGTGCTTTACTTCCAATTATGTGGTCAATTTTAGAGTAGGTGTGATGTGGTGCTGAGAAGAATGTATACTCTGTGGATTTGGGGTGGAGAGTTCTGTAAGTGTCTATCAGGTTTGCTTGTTCCAGGTCTGAGTTCAAGTCCTGGATATCCTTGTTAATTTTCTGTCTGGTTGATCTGTCTAATATTGACAGTGGAGTGTTAAAGTCTCTCACTATTATTGTGTGAGAGTCTAAGTCTCTTTGTAAGTCATTAAGAACTTGCCTTATATATCTGGGTGCTCCTGTATTGGGTCCATATATATTTAGGATCGTTATCTCTTCTTATTGTATTGATCCTTATACCATTATGTAATGTCCTTCTTCGTCTCTTTTGATCTTTGTTGCTTTAAAGTCTATTTTATCAGAGATGAGAATTGCAACTCCTGCTTTTTTTGCTCTCCATTTGCTTGGTAAATCTTCCTCCATCCCTTTATTTTGAGCCTTTGTGTATCCTTGCATGTGAGATGGGTTTCCTGGATACAGCACACTGATGGGTTTTGGCTTTTTATCCAATTTGCCAGTCTGTGTCTTTTGATTGGTGCATTTAGCCCGTTTACATTTAGGGTTAATATTGTTATGTGTGAATTTGATACTGCCATTTTGATGCTAGCTGGCTGTTTTGCCCGTTAGTTGATGCAGATTCTTCATTTTGTTAATGCTCTTTAGCATTTGGTATGTTTTTGGAATGGCTGGTACTGGTTGTTCCTTTCTATGTGTAGTGCCTCTTTCAGGAGCTCTTGTAAAGCAGGCCTGGTGGTGACAAAATCTCTGAGTACTTGCTTGTTTGCAAAGGATTTTATTTTTCCTTCACTTATGAAGCTCAGTTTGGCTGGATATGAAATTCTGGGTTGAAAGTTCTTTTCTTTAAGGATGTTGAATATTGGCCCCCATTCTCTTCTGGCTTGTAGGGTTTCTGCCAAGAGATCTGCTTGTGAGTCTGATGGACTTCCCTTTGTGGGTGACCTGACCTTTCTCTCTGGCTGCCCTTAGCATTTTCTCCTTCATTTCAACCCTCGTGAATCTGATGATTATGTGCCTTGGGGTTGCTCTTCTTGTGGAATATCTTTGTGGTGTTCTCTGTATTTCCTGGACTTGAATATTGGCCTGCCTTGCTAGGTTGGGGAAATTTTCCTGGATAATGTCCTGAAGAGTATTTTCCAGCTTGGATTCATTCTCTTCGTCACATTCAGGTATACCTATCAAACGTAGGTTAGGTCTCTTCACATAGTCCCATATTTCTTGGATACTTTGTTCATTCCTTTTTGCGCTTTTTTCTCTAATCTTGGCTTCTCGTTTTATTTCATTGAGTTGATCTTCGACTTCTGATATCCTTTCTTCTGCTTGGTCAATTTGGCTGTTGAAACTTGTGCATGCTTCGCGAAGTTGTCGTGTTGTGTTTTTCAGCTCCTTCAATTCACTCATATTCCTCTCTAAGTTGTCCATTCTTGTTATCATTTCCTCAAATCTTTTTTCAAGGTTCTTAGTTTCTTTGCATTGAGTTACAACATGTTCTTTTAGCTCACGGAAGTTTCTCGTTACCCACCTTCTGAAATCTGATTCTGTCATTTGATCACACTCATTCTCCGTCCAGCTTTGTTCCGTTGCTGATAAGGAGTTGTGGTCCCTTGTAGGAAGCAAGGTGTTCTGGTTTCGGGTGTTTTCCTCCTTTTTGCACTGGTTTCTTCCCATCTTTGTGGATTTATCCACCTGTCATCTGAGTAGTTGCTGATTTTCGATTGGGTCTCTGAGTGGACGTCCAGATTGTTGATGATGAAGTATTTCTGTTTCTTAGTTTTCCTTCTAACAGTCTGGCCTCTCTGCTGTAGGACTGCTGAGGTCCACTCCAGGCCCTGCTTGCCTGGGGCATGCCTGTAGCAGCTGCAGAACCGTGAGGGTTGCTACCGGTTTCTTCTTCTGCTATCTTTGTCCCTGAATGATGCTCGCCAAATGTCAGTCTGATCAGTCCTTTGTGAGGTGACTCTTGATATATGGGGTTCAGGGAGCTGCTTGAGGAGACTGTCTGTACTTTATACTTGAGGAGACAGTCTGTACTTTATAGGAGCTCAAGTGCTGAGCTGTGAGCTCCGTTGTTCATTCAGCACTGCTAGGCAGGTATGTTTAAGTCTGCTGCAGCAGTACTCATAAAGCCTTTTTTTCCTCAGGTGCTCTGTCCCGGGGAGTTAGGGCTTTATTTATGAGTATCTGTTGCACTGTCCTGCCCAGCAAGGAGGCAGTCTAATCACTGCTTGCCTGTAGTGGCTATGCTGAGCTGCTGTGGGCTCTGCCCTGCTGCCTTCCCTGTAGTCCTGTTTATGTGGGTGTGGTTAAAGATGGTGGCTCGCCTCTGTAGTGGCCGACTCTCTCTGTTATGGCGGGTTGCCTCGGCAACGGCAGGCTACGTCAGCAATGGCAGAGTACCTCCGTAGGGATTGAGTGCCTCGGTAATGACGGACGCCCCTCCCCCACCTAGCTGCGCCGTCCTGGGTTCAGCTATGCTCCCTGTGAAACTCTTAACCCTGAGCGTTTCCAATTGTTGTTTTGTTTGTTTTTGTGGGGGTGGGACCCGCTGAGCCTGATCACCTGGCTCCCTGCCTCGGAGCCCCCCTCCCGTTTTTTTTTTAAGTTGAATGGTTGATTCTCTCCCAGGTGTTCCAGCCGCCTGCTGAAAGGGCGCCAGGATCTGTGTGATTTCCTGTGCAGTGACCCACTGCACCGGCTGGAACAATGTTGCTGCCCGGGAATCTCCTGGCCTGGCTTTCTGTTTAAGTCCCGTTTAATCAGATGAATGTGCTAATCTGCCTTCCGAAATCTCCAATTGCTGGTTTAACAGGGCAACCAAACCAGTGTATTTTGTGCAGAGTGCTGCTGTGCTGCGGCCCCGGCCCAAACAGCCGCGCCGGCCCAAACAGTCACACCGGCCCAAACAGCTGCACTGGTGGCCCGTGGGGCTCCTACGCCTGGGAATCTCCTGGTCTGTGGGCAATAAAGATCCGTCTGGAAATGCGGTGTCCACTCACCCTCTGCGTTTTCACTGGGAGCTGCAATCCTGAGTTGGTCCTACAGCGCCATCTTCCTTAGTCTCCATTTTCAATATATCTTTTTTTGTGTGTGAGATGAAGTCTTGCTCTGTCACCCAGGCTGGAGTGCTGTGGCATGATCTCAGCTCACTGCGACCTTTGTTTCCTGGGTTCAAGCGATTCTTCTGCCTCACCCTCCCAAGTAGCAGGGACTATGGGTGTGCAACATCATGCCCAGCTGATTTTTTTTTTTTTTAATTATTAGTGGAGATGGGGTTTCAGCATATTGAGCAGGCTGGTCTTGAACTCCACCTCACCCGGCTATGTGTTTTATATTTATATGAAGTTAGACCACAGATTATCTCAAATAACATAATAAAATGAGTAATCTAATACTCAGAAAGTTAAATTGTGTTACTAAAAGTCAAGGATTAGCTGGATTCCCAAACTAGCGATTTTTCCTTCAACATACTATGTCCTTACATGTGCTCAAAGACCGAATTTTTTCAAATTTTTCTGGGAAGTTACCGATGGTAATTGAAAACAATAAGGCAATTGCCATGGTGGGTTTTTTTTAGGTTTTAATATCAATATCAATAATAAAAAGAAAACTGTCATCATGGCCTTTTTCATCCAAGAAATAAAGTTATCTTTCTCAAGGGGTTTATTAATACTTGTCCATCAATATTATATTAAGCACAAGGAAGACAGCATAAAGCTCAAGAAAATTCTATCAACTGGTATAGGAACTGTTATCAAAGATAACTTGTGAGTATATTCCAGCTTTTATCAATATTTTTGTCTGCCCTGTATGCACAGCAAATAATGGGAGAGGACGAAGTGTTCTTGTCAAGTGTAAAGCATATTAAATGTTCCTTCCCCTTGTAGTCTCCCATGGCTGATTTCCATGACTAGATAAATATTAAGCATACACGTGAGTAACACTTACGAGTCACATGCTGAGCAGTGATGCGCACGATCAGGTTTAATCAGCTGACATTTTTCACAATATCTGATGGCTGTGTGAAAGAAGTAAAAGGAAGATGTTGAACAATGTACAAATTTAACAAATTTTACATTAAAACTTGCTTTTTTTTTTTTGGAGACAGAGTTTCTCTCGTTACCCAGGTTGGAGTGAAATGGCACAATTTTGGTTCACCACAACCACCACTTCCTGGGTTCAAGTGATTCTCTTGCCTCGGCCTCCTGAGTAGCTGGAATTACAGTAATATGCCACCACACATGGCTAATTTTGTATTTTTAATAGAGATGGGGTTTCTTCATGTTGGTCAGGCTGGTCTCTAACTCCCGACCTCCAGTGATCCATCTGCCTTGGCTGCCCAAAGTGCTGGGATTACAGGTGTGAGCCACTGCACCCGGCCAAAACTTGCTTTTTTTTTTCTTAAATAAACAACTTCTGGGTAATTGACAACTAATAATTTTAAAACAATACCAAAATGTATTATACTAGAGAGCTTCTCAAATCAAAATGTCAAGAGATAAAAGAGAACATCAGAATATGATTTACTCAGCAATTTTTAGATGAAAAGTAGATGCAAGGCAAATAAATGACTTGGTACAAGGTCAAACACAGGGGTGAGGAGCAGAATTAGACCAGAACTCAAGATTTAGTAAGTCCCAAGTCTACTGTTTTTTAAAATTATGCCATAATGCCTATGGTATTTCAAAATTTAGACTTTAAGGCATCCTTTGGGATTCTGTTTTTGAAATTCTGAAACAGCTTTATTACAAAACAAAAAAAAAACCCACTTTTTATCTGCCATCCCTACTCCAGATAAACAGTAAAATTGTGAATTTATTTTTGAATAAAAACTCTGAAATGTTTGCCACTAAATCCTAAAATATACTACTATTGCCCAATACATATGTTCATTTAAAACATATGGAACACCTGCTAGGTGCCAGATATTGCTCATGCTTTCCTGGACCTTTCATTTTACAGGAAGAGATGGAGAGTAATAAATAAGTTAACAAAATAAACAGTGTATTAGACAGTGATAGTACCGATAGCAGGGAAGGAAACATTGGGGAATTGTAATTTTAGAAACATATGAGAAAAATGAAATTGAAAGAAGCAAGTTAGTGAGACATGTCTATCAGGGAGAAAGAGAATTTTTTGTTTTTTGAGATAGAGTGTTGCTGTGTCACTCAGGCACAATAAGCAAATGATCACCACATTGTGGTGTTAGAATTCCATGGCTAAAAATAACAGTTGAAAGGACAGTACAGAAAAAATGGGGTAAGGCACCTTTGTGAAGTTAAGACATAGGAGAAACCAAATGTGGAAAGAAGAACAACAATCATACCAGGATACAAAAATTGAAGTATATCTAATACTATAGAAAAACACAAGAGGAAAGTGTTTCAAGAAGGCAAAATGACAAAAAGCCTACGGAGAATGAAAGCTGCTACCTGGAATTCACTAGAAGGAAGTAAGGCCCTAGATACAGACCACCTAAAAGATCTATAATCAAGGGAAAATAAAATACTAGGCCAGGCATGGTGGCTCATGCCTGTAATTCCAGCACTTTGGGAGGCTGAGGTGGGCAGATCACTTGAGGCTAGAAATTTGAGACCAGCCTGGCCAACATGGTGAAATTCATCTCTACTAAAAATACAAAAATTAGCCAGGTGTGGTGGCATATGTCTTTAATCTCAGCTACTCAGGAGGCTGAGGCTGGAGATTGCTTGAATCCTGGAGGCAGAAGTTGCAGTGAGCTAAGACTGCACCATTCTACTCAAGCCTGGGCGATAGAGCAAGACTCCATCTCAAAAAAAAGAAAATTACTGGAAATGTATTATTACATGCAAATGAGAGGGAAGACTCTCTCGCCTCCTTCAATTTCACCTCCTCCCTCCCCTCTTTTCCAGATGGGAAGGAGGGTGAAGAAGGAAAAATAAAATAGAATACCAAAGAGCTGGGAAAATAACTAAAAATAGTTCCCAGCATCTCTGCTATCTGTTAAACCTTGAAAGAGCTGCAAATAAATGCTATCTCTGCCAGCTGGAGCCCATCACTGGTTTATGCCCCCACATCTCCACAAACCAGGCTCCCTCCTGGAAACCCCTCTGCCAATAAACAGATTGTTACTTTTGTCTTGTCTCTGTAAGCCCCACTCCCTTGCTGGTTCCCACTTGTGCTGCATATGAATTAGCAAATCAATGAAGCCGAAAGATTTTAAGGTTGGATGTCCAGCAAATGGACAATAACATAGTTCCACCTCAGTTTCCCCTTTAGCATTGTAAGCTATAAAAGGGGGGGAAAGGTGCAACTTGGGGAGCTCGGTAAATAAGGTGGTAGCCTCCTGCAGCTCCCGGCTGAATAAAAAAACACTTCCTTCCTCAGTTCAGTGTTCGAGAGGTTTGTTCCCCACCACTCCTGCTATGCTAAGTATTTTACATATATTGTCTCATTTAATATTTCCACTAACCCAGTCATGTAAATATTATCCTTATCTTAAAATGAGGAAGTTAGTGCTTAGAAAGTTTACAAGACTTGCACTGCATTAGTAAGGTTTGAAAAACTGGGGTTTGATCTGTAATCCATGTTTTCATTCTATACTGTATCAGTTATGCAAAAAGGGTGATCAGTTGAATATTCCCTCCTAAAATCTTTTAGACACTTTAAATTTTCTTGAGTCACAATTTGTACACAGTTACACAAAGGTAATTTTGTGTTGGAGTTTAGCAGCTTAGTGGGTTGAAGAGGCAGACCACCTGGACTTAAACTCCTGTTGTTTTTTTATACTAGCTGTATGACTTTGAACAAGTTACTTAACCTCACTGAGCCTTAGTTTCCTCATCTGTAAAATGGAAACTATAGTGTACACTTCATAAGGTTGTTGTGAAGTCCAAATGAGTTCACACATGTAAACAGAATAACTGCTAAGCTGCAATCATTACCTGGTATTTAAATCAATTAATGAGGTATATAATATATAATTTAAAACAATTTTGCTAAAATCCAAAAAATTAAAAATAAATAAACAAAATAAAGCCATTTTCTGTATTTAAATGACCAGCCACTCATATTCTCTTCGATGTCATAAGATTATAAGCTAGGAACAGGAAGCTGTTGTTATGGTCCTGGATCTCAATGGAGGCGTTAGTACAGAGGAAACACCAAGGACTTTAGAACTAGACAAACCTGAGATCGCAGCCTGACTCTAAGAATATTAGCCTTATACATCTGAACAAGTTTCTTCCTATTTGTGTCTTTTACTGTTCTCCATTTTTTAGCACATTCTTGAATTTTTTATTACTCAGTGATGACACACAATACTCAAATTCAGACTTCCAAATGACAGTTTACTAAGAATAATAATTAAAAATTTTAGCCATGAAAGTTGAGTTGGGGGAGAAAAACAAGTATAGAAGAGATTCATATTAGAGTGAGCCCCTTAAATAATTTATATTGATTTATTTATATATTTATCTATTTCTGCATCTGAAATACCACAGTAAGAAAACAGGAAAGTCTTGTTGCTAGTTATTATTTATGGCAATCACAGTATCCATTTAATAGTCAAACCATGCAAATATATCCAGGCAGAAATAATCATATTTTTAAAAATCATTTGAAAAGGAAAGCTTACGATTTCTTATTCTTACTTTTTGAAGCTGATGTGGTATAGATAGGTAAAGCTCTTGCTGCTCTTCTCAAAATGTCCTGTTGTCTTTCTTGGCTGAATTCTTTTTCATAACGTTCCTTTTCAGAATTGGATAAATAGAACTACAAAAGGAAAGAGAACTATTATACTTTTTAACTTCCATGATGTTCATTATCATGCTCAGAAAAAGTTTTATCTAGAACAGAGAAAGAAAACCAAAAAATATTTTATAAAGGCAAAACTTGTCTTCAAACTTCTTAACTAGCAAGTAGATAAATCAAGTCTATTTTAACAAAACTACGTACCTTTGGCATATTAAAAAATATTTGGGCTGGGTGTGGTGGCTCACGCCTGTAATCCCAGCACTTTGGGAGGCTGAGGCGAGTGGATCACATGAGGTAGGGAGTTCGAGACCAGCCTGACCAACATGAAGAAACCCTGTCTCTATAAAAATACAAAAACATTAGCCAGGCATGGTGGTGCATACCTGTAGTCCCAACTACTCAGGAGGCTGAGGCAGAAGAATCGCTTGAACCCAGGAGGCGGAGGTTGTAGTGAGCTGAGATTGTACAATGGTACACCAGCCTGGGCAACAAGAGCAAAACTCCGTCTCAGAAAAAAAAAAAAAAAAAATCTGCCCTCCACACCAGATGGCAAAGAACATGAATTAAATATTTTTGCATCTTTGTTTTTCACAAATAAAATTACATTTCTACACAAGAAAGGCTTAATATATAGTCTCCATTAGTAAAAATTTTAGTTGTTTAAAAGTTGCTGTCAAGAGATTTTTAATGTTTGGAAGAATGTCCAAAGATTTACTTGCTTTGGGTGAGAGGCTAAATCACAGGCATGTGATCCCACTAATTTTTAGCCAAATGTCTCAAGAAAGTCAATGAGTCATTTTTTTTTTAACCATTTTTAGCTTTTAAAAAGTAACCCATAGGACTACTTTCACCAGAATTATCAAGGCAAGCATGGCCACCTTTTTTCAAGGAGAGACTCCTTTATAGTGCCGTTTCTTGTTTTCATTTCCCATGTGTGGCCAGCCTCTGGTTCATTTCTCTTAATAGCATTTTCCCTTCAGAGTGCTTGTTTAATTGTTCTTTTCATATGTCATCCCAACATCTCAAGGATCCTAAGTTTTAGAGCTCAATTTCATGTTACTAGGAACTGCAAGTTTCTATCAGTCTTTATTTCACAGATTTTCTTTTTAAACTAAGAATTGCTTGAGACTTGCTCTTCATTGCGTTTTACATTTTAATAACACTATTCCTCAATTTTTATTTACTTGTAGGGTTCTGCTTAGAAAGCCCTAAGGAATCATGACTTTTCATGTTTAAAGTATTTGGTCTAGTTGCTAACTCAAATACCAAAATGTCTCCTCCTCTTGCTGCCCCATCATTGCTAATAGTATTAGCTTAACAACGCGGTATTCTGCTATAAACAAGGCAATAACCTGGCATAGTAGAAAGAGCTCTGAGTTGAAGAAACTGTGATTCTAAGAGACTTAGGCAATTTTCTAAGACTGCAGAACTACTGGCAGAGCCAATAGTAAAATACAGGTCTTTGTTCTACTCTGGTGCATTTTCCTCTACATTACAATTTAAAATAAATGGTTTTGCTTTTTACAGATTATTACTCTAACCTAACTAAAACATCATACTTTAGGAAATAAAAGAGTCTATTTAGATTACCTAGCTCGGCTTCTACAATCAAATTGTGATGGCACAAGAAACCCCCAAATTACTTATGGGGGACAAGAAGCAACATGGACAGATGAACAGGACAGTAAGAAGTCAGGAAAGACTCACATAAATCTTAAAGATGAAAAAGTCTTAAAGACAATGGAGGTCCCTTATCTAACCTTCCATCAAAAGCAGGGATCTTCAGACATTTCTGACAGATTGGGTTCGTTCCTCTTGAATACTTTCAGAGAAATGTTTTCAATTTTGCAAGATGGCATATTCTCTTTTAAGATAATTTTAATTTGTTAGGAAGTTCTTTCCTGACATTATGTGTCTCTTGCATATTCATAGTAGAGTATAAAATCACATGGTAACATGTTAAATATGCTTGAATAGAAGATGTTCTGACCAAATTTTGCAGATTCCTTATAAAATTTCAACATATTGGCTGGACGTGATGGCTCATGCCTGTAATCCCAGCACTTTGGGAGGCCGAGACAGGTGGATCATGAGGTCAGGAGTTCAAGACCAGCCTGACCAACATGGTGAAACGCCGTCTCTACTACAAAAGCAAAAATTAGCCGGGCGTGGTGGCACGTGCCTATAATCCCAGCTACTCAGGAGGATGAGGCAGGAGAATCACTTCAACCTGGAAGGCAGAGTTGAATTGCACCACTGCACCCCAGCCTGGGCGACAGAGTTAAGACTCCATCTCAAAAAAAAAAAAAGAATTTTTTTTTTCCCCAACATATTTCCCTGGGCTGTCCTATTCCTAGTCTGCAGTAGTATCCCAGGCCTTAGGCCTCTTCACTGCTACTCAACATCATTACTTTTCCTTACAAATGAAGGTTATAAAATTAAGAAAAGCTTAAACCAAATGAAAATTTCAAGAGACATCGGAATTTTACATGAGGAAAGGAACAAAACAAAAATTCAAATAGACTGTAAAATTTGAATTAGTACTAGAAGTTTGTCTTTCCATTCAAAACTAGTGAACACAATTAAAACTATGAAATGCTATTACTGTCTTAAATTCAGTGTTCAGACAGTTCTACTTAAATATATATTAAATGCCAATTTAGAGTGAGGTGCTGTCCCAGATTTCAGAGATCCAAAGATGAATTAAAAACAATCCTTGCCTTCAAAAGTATATTTCTATAGTCTAGTAAGAAAGTCATGTAAATAAAGAATTACGAAATATAAATCAGCATAAAGTACAACATTAATAATATATTACAAGGTATGATAAAAGCTCCCTTGGGATGTAGTGAGAGATAGCAAATAAAGTTTTTTGAAGGCAGTGTACCTAAGTTTTGAAAGATAAATGGGAATCTTCCAGAAAGATAAAGAAAAGAAAATCTTGGCAAAAGGAACAGCATACAGAAAGCACAAAGATGTGAAAATTATTCAGTATATTCAGCTCTATACACTGCTTGAGTATAGAGTTCCATGAAGAAACAATAAAGATTAAGTTAGTAAGATTTTAGTCCATGAAGGGACTTGGTGTACCATGCAAATGAACACGAGCTTTATCTTACAGCTAATTGGCAAACTCCATAGGATTATAGTCAGAGAAGTGATGAGACTGTATTTTCTTTTAGAAAAGATGACACTTGGTGATGGGAGATCCCTATCAGCTATTCACATGCTGCCTCCTCCTCACCTTTCCTTCATTTAAGTCTTTATCAATCTGCCTGTTATATACAAGGTCTGAGTCTAGGTAATGGGGATACAGAAATAAACAACAAAGAGTTTTCCTTCAAAAAGCTTAGTGGAAGAGATACTTTAAATATCTCAGCTTGAATGCCACTTCCTTGGAGATTTACTTGACTACACTATCTCAAGTAGTTTTTTTTCTCCCCTTAAGTAAGCTTTTATTTTTTTATACTCGATCACATTACCCTGTTCTTCTTATAAATTTATCACAATTTACAATTATTTTATTTACTGCCTGTCTTTACCTTTTAGCCTAGCACAATCTGACATCCAGTGGGTCGCCAAGAGGTACTTGACTGAAACAATGAACAAAAGACACCCCACCTGTATTTACAACTTAACTTCCTTAAAGACTTATAGCTTTTGCTTTTTGTTACTATTATTAAGACAGAGTTTCACTCTTGTTGCCCAGTCTGGAATGCAATGGTGTGATCTTGGCTCACTGTATCCTCTGCCTCCCAGGTTCAATCAATTCTCCCGCCTCAGCCTCCCAAGCAGTTGGGATTACAGGCGCACACCACCACACCTGGCTAACTGTATTTTCAGTAGAGATGGGGTTTCACCATGTTGGTCAGGCTGGCCTTGAACTCCTGACCTCAGGTGATCCACCCACCTTGGCCTCCTAAAGTGTTGGGATTACAGACGTGAGCTACCATGCCCAGCCCATTTTTGCTTTTTAGACTCAATCAATTCCCACAGACCTAGCTCCCCAAGCACTGCTCTAACCTCTGAGCTGACAGAATCCTCCTAATAAAAGCTGTAAGCTTGGTATTACATCAGCACCAACCTGTGAGCTGACAGAATCCTCCTAATAAAGCTGTGAGCTTGGTATTACATTAGCACCAACCTCACTGCTTTATAATTGCTTGTACAGGGCTACCTCAGTCAGCACACTGTAAGCTCAGTGACAAAGAGAATCTTAAATTCCTGTTCTTGGTTGTTCCTAGAGCTTAGCTCGCCCATGACAATTAATTTAATAATTAATTCATTTAACAGTTACTGAAAATCTACTATGTGCCAGATAGTGTGGGAAGGGATATAGTGAAGAATGCAACAGAAATATCTCTGCCCTCACAAAATTTACAATTTAATAATGTGATTTATATTAGTAAACAGGCAATTACAATACCAGATGATAAATTCTATGACAGGGTAAATGGAGCATGCCATAGCAAGGTCACTGGATACAGGCTTGGGTGTCAGATTAACTTATAGGAGTAGGGGAGAATGAAAGGGAAGTGGATGTAAAGACCTAAGCTCTGGGCTGAATGCTAAAGAGATGAAATATGATAGAGCCACCACCAAAAAATACATATATAACATTTTGATAGTACTTATTATGTGCTAAGTATTCTTCTGAGCCCTTTATATACACTATTAATTCCATATATTAATGATACACTATTAATCACATAGATTATTAATTTGCTCAATTCTTATAGTTATCATATGAGGTGGGTACTAATATCACCCTCACCTTACAGAGGAGGGATCAACTAAGTAAAGTCTCCAAAGTCACACAGCTAACACACCTAGTAGGCTGCAGAGGTACAAGCTGAATCTGGGCAGTTTTAGTTCAGACTCTGTGTGGTATTGTTGTTGTTGTTTAGTCCAGAATCTGTGTGGTATTGTTGCTGTTTGAGACAGGGTCTCACTCTGCTGCCCAGGCTGGAACGCAGTGGTGTGATCATGACTCATTGCAGGCTTAAGCTCCCTGGGCTCAGTGATCCTCCTACCTCTCAGCCTCCGGAGCGCATGCCACCAAGCCAGCTAATTTTTGTATTCTTTGTAGAGATGGGGTTTGCTATATTGCCAAGGCTGATGTCAAAGTTGGGGGCTAAAGCGATCTGCCTGCCTCAGCCTCCCAAGATGCTGGATTATAGGCCTGAGCCACCACGCCTGGCCTGCATTCTTAGACTACACATTATTGCTTCTGAAAAGTACTACCAATTATTTTTCTTATTCTATTTCTTATTTCCTGTAATGAGAATTATTTACTTTTTACACGTTATGTTTTCAATAGTCACTACTAGTAATTGATAAAATAAAATTAAGTCCTTTTCAATTTCAAGATTAAGAAATGGATGATAGCTTGTAATATAACTTTAAGGGTTGACTAATTAGTACCAAATGCCTGATGAATATATTTGAAGCAATACTAAAGTATGATTTACAGTTTACTTTACTTTTAAAAACAAAAGCATCTAGTAGAAAAAGCAGGCAAAAGACCATATGGTTACCTGCTAATGTTAAATATATGTACAGTAGTTCTACTCCTAGACATCTACCCGAAAGACTATATATATATTATCCAAGAGACATGCACTACACTGTTTACAGCAGCCCTGTTTGTAACAGCTCTAAGCTGGAGGCTACCCACATGCTCATCAACAGTAGACCCAGTAAATAAATTGTGTTATATACTGCAACTGAATACTAACAATAATGAGAATGAATGATCTGCGACTACATATAACACAAAAAAATCTTACAAATAGAATGTTAATGAAAAAAGCCACACATACACATACACACACATATGACTACACACATACACACACTAGTATAAAACTACAAAACTCCATTTATATTTAGTACAAAAAACAGGCAAAGCTAATCTATGCCATTAGAAAGCAAGAGAGTGACTTCTTATGAAGTGGATGACTGAAAGGAAACATCAGGGGGTTGATGGGGTTCTGGTAATGTTCTGTTCTTGACTTGGGTGGTGGTTACACAGGTGTCTACACATATGCATACTTTCTGCTCTTCACTGCAAAGTTAAATAGAAGTTGATACTATTTTTAAATGTATGGTCTATAATTTTGAATGATTTTTATAAATTTAACACAAAGAGAAATAATTACATCATCATGATCATCTAGTATTTGAGTCCTAACAATGTGGCAGGTACATTACTATTTTAAAAGCTTAGGCCAGGAGCAGAAGCTCACACCTGTAGTCCCAACACTTTGGGAGACTAAGGAGGGTGGATCACCTGAGGCCAGGAGTTCAAGACCAGCCTGACCAACATGGGAAAATCCTGTCTCTACTAGAACTACAAAAATTAGCCAGGCACAGTGGCACGTGCCTGTAATCCCAGCTGCTTAAGAGGCTGAGGCAGGAGAATCGCTTGAACCTGGAAGGTGGAGGTTGCAGTGAGCCAAGATCATGCCATTGCACTCCAGCCTGGGTGACAAGAGTGAATCTCCATCAAATAAATAAATAAGTAAATAAGTAAGTAAATAAATAAATAAAAGCTTTAACTCAATAAATCTCACAATCTTTACAAACATCCTACAGAGACAGGCACAGTTGTTAGCTCCACTTTTTGAAAAGAAGTGGACCCAGTAAAGAAGCTTGAGAGATTAAATTGTTAGAGCAAAAAATCAAACTGAGGCAATTCTAACTCTAAAGAATATATTCTTAACCATCTTGCTTTATGAAATTTTTGGTGAAGGAAGAATTCAGTCAGCTATGGCAAGGTAAGAGAGACATACTGATCATAAAACTTACTCCACATAAATGTTTACCTATATTATTTCCCAAATGGAGCCTCCAATTAGAAAAAACACTAGTCATATTAAAGTGCAGCAAGCAATAGCTTAGACAATTTGTTTCCATCACAAAACTTTCTTTAATTGCAGCATATCTGTTCATGCCTGAGAAAATATAAATGTTGAGAGTTTCTAAAAATAAACTCTACTTTCCTAATTCAATTCTGTCCCTTAATACTTTTTATTCCAATAATATAAAGTATGTCTTTAAGAAAACATAGAATGGTAGAAAAGTAATAAGGTTTTCTATACCACTCAACTTTCTCTATGCTGTGTTAGTGGACTGTATCTGAGAATTGGCTGATGACTCACATTCACATTACAGAGTAACCAAGTAGTTTTATGAATGGAAACAGAACACATGCATTATGTAAAGTTTTAACAAAGGTAACACAAGGGAAAAAAATTCCATAATCAGTTAAAACATTTGGTAATTTACCAACATTAAATTTACCTCTTTGGAGGGGGAAGCGGGAGATGTGAAAATTGTCATCCAATAGGACCATACAAACATAACAAAGAACAGATGGAAAGCCACAAGGTAAACAACGGTCTTTCCTGGTAAATAAAAACAAATAACAGTTCGTTGAATCCAGGTGAACACAGGAAAAAGCATTACATTAAAACACAATAATTGGGCCAGGAGGCCAAATCCAATAAACAATTAAATTAAAATGTACTGAAACATTAAATATATTAACTTTACCTGCAAGAGGAAACATTACTAGATATGAAGAAATATTCTGTTCCTATATTTAAGGATTATCAGCCTGCTATATAAGATTAGATGATATTTAAGATGAGATTTGGTTGTATTAAATTGCTGAAGTTAAATTTAAGCTAGAATACTTTCTTCACTCACTCTATTTCAAGTTCTCCAAAAGGTCATTTTAAATGACTTAAAATTACTGAAAACAATATTTATTAGTATGAACATTAAATCCAAGGACTTATCAACTGAAAGTAAATAAGTTACTATCACCATAAATAATGAATACATCTGAATAACCCATTCCCTGTATCGTTCAGAAAAAGTACCCTAAATTTCATTCCCCTGGTCAATACAGGCTAACAAGAAAGAGTTTTGGCCATTTTGAATATCTAACATAACTGTTTCCTAAGTAGATTAATGTAACATTCCAACATTTCTATCTCCAAATATTAAGTCACTGATATAATTTTAAGCTTTTTGTTGTATTCTATAGATTTTCTATTTGAAAGAAGTGGTAGTTTCTTTAAGAAGCAAAATTTCTTTAAAAAGCAAGAACTATCTACCTGATGCTTAAATTCTTTTTCAGCTTGTAATGCAACACCATAAACCCATTGAAGACAACAAATGCGGACAAGTCTGAAATTCTACTCATTTTTAAAGTTCAGATAAAATGCTACTACTTCCACAAAGGTTTTTTCTGTTACTTTCAGAATTCATTACTCCTTCATACTGTACACTCTCCAAATTATTTTGTTACATTTCAATTAAAGCACTTATTTCAGTGAAGTTAGCTGCTTAATACTGACAAGCTAACACATGCAAAATACTTAGAAGAATGCCTGGCATACAATAAATCCTTAATAAATACTGGCTATTATTATTATTACTAGTCTTATCCAGGCATTTTAATTATTTTCTCCAAAATTTGGTCCTTTTTGTGCATTCCCTGTATCAGTGGTTTTCCACTTTAAGAAGTGACAATGTGTTCACTGGTCTGCACTGAAATAAAAGAAAGGCCAAGAACAATGTAATGAAACTTTTGTAAAAGCCAACATGTATTCGGTTTGAAGTACTGTCCTTCCTTTGTCTGAGGTTTATTTTCCCTTATGTTTTTTGGTTTTAAAAATGCTTATTCTTTTCAATAAAATAATAGTAATAATTGACAAACCCTGTTGCAACCCATCCTTTTCTTTTGAAATTGTATTGGTTCATGCCTGATCTCAGAGAATAGACACCCCAGTCACACAGTGGACCAATGCAGAAACCCAGACCTGAAATGACTCCTTATATTTCAAAGCTAATCAGTACAAATAGTACTAATTCTAGATCCTAAAATTTCTCTCCAAGTGAACTCTTTATCATTATTTTCAATGCCCATGCATAGTTCATAAATTGTTGCCTATATCCTTTGGATTGCTGCAAAAGCCAATTGGCCTCCTTGCTTCCCATCCATCTCAATGGTTGGTGTAAAATGTGCTGCTCATAGTTCCTTTTCCCTCTTGGCTGTGAAATTCCTAAGAAATAATTACAACCTCATAACCAATACATCTTAGTAAAACTGTGGGACTACTCAGTCACCATATTTATATGGTGATTTTTATATTTACGGGTACTCAAATCACCACTCCTATGTACTGAAAGTCAACTAGAAGGCATATAATGTATGCCTTATTTGTAACCCTCACAGTAAGTCTTCTAAGGTATCATTCCAGTTTCCAGATGTAAACAATGAGGCTCAGAGAATTTAAAACTTTGCCCAATGTCACTTAGTTACTAAATGATGAAGCCAGAATTCAAACCTGTATCTGTTTGACAAAAATCTAAGGTTCTTTTCACTATGTCCTACCTAAAATTATAGTTTCCTCCATGTTTTAAACCATCATCTTAATGGTCATATTCTAAGCCATTATCTGATGCCAAGATAAAATCCTAACCATAACTTCCATCTATTTTCAAATGTGCTCTTTTTGTTTCCATTAACATTGTCATACACATTAATAACCAGTTTCTCAAAATCTGTTTTCTCTATCTTGTCAGTTCTCTCCAGGTTGAACCCCATGGTGTACCCAAAGGACTCAGTATCATTGCTTCAGCTGGGTGCGGTGGCTCCTGCCTGTAATCTCAGCACTTTGGGAGGCTGAGGTGGGTGGATCACTTGAGGTCAGGAGTTCAAGACCAATCTGGCCAATATGGTAAAACCTCATCTCTACTAATATAAAAAATTAGCTACGCATGTTAGTGCACACTTGTAATCTCAGCTACTTGGTCGGCTGAGGTGGGAGGATCACCTAAATCTGGGAAGCAGAGGTTGCAGTGAGCTGAGATCACACTACTGCACTCCAGCTGGGGAGACAGAGTGAGACTCCATCTCGTAGAAAGAGAAAAATAACTGCTTCATTTGTTTTTCCTTTGGAAAAGTGTGCAATAACTTAGTCTCCTACTGTTATGATTGACACCATTTATCAACCCTGCAATGTTATCTTCATTTTGTTTACTTCCTTTATAAATATTTTTGCCTACACCCCATATTAAATCAAGCTTATTATTCCTCATCTATACACTATTGTATAACTTTGAGATAGATGGTAACCTTGAGAAACTTTAAATGTAAAAATAAAATATTCTTCATAGTTTTAAAAACATTTAATATATTTTTAGGATATTTATTTTCTTCATGACAACAAAACAAAATGGTTTTGCTGAAAAATACATTCTCAGTTAAAAAACAGATAAAATAAAGCTCTTAACATAGACCTAGAATATAGTAAGTACTTAAAAGATGGTGTTATTAAATTATAATGAGCAAGAATAACAGAAAACAATGCTTTTCACTAAATTCAAATCAATGTGATTATTAATAGGCAAACTTCTGGTTAAATATACATGCTATTAAACCACTGGTTACAAGTAATATAGAAAGTAAAATCTTAGTTAACTGAGAAACTCAAATCAAAGCTGAAAGAAAAACCTGAAACCTATATACCAAACTCTGTGTTTAACAGTTCAAAAATCACCTATAACTAAATTTAAAAACAAGCTAACAACAACAAAAAACTGTATTGAAAGACTCTTTGAGAAACACAGTAAAAATAGCCCCAAGAGATAATGATATAAGTTAAAAGTTCTTTTATAAGAACTTCTGAAATTTGCTTTTTGTATCTGTGCTTCCAACATACAGGAAACATTTTTGAATTACAGAAAGAAAATAAGCTGACCAAGATTGAGTCTGTTTATTCTGTTACTGAGAAATTAAATTTAAAGGTAATTTAAGATTTATATACTTAATGCCTCATCTCCAGTTAACAATAATTACTATTTATTAATAATTTCTAACTGTTCAAGTATTTTAGAAATCCTCTGGAGTTTAGTATGTCCAATTAAATTTTATTTAGAACAGATTTATGAAATTTGCTTTCATCTCAGTGAAATTTTGAGAAATGATTTTTCCCTCTAGGGACTATCTTTTTGACTTAGTTATTATAAAAACTTTAGCTTTCTTAAACTAGTAATACAATTTACAAATTTACAGTCGGGTTATTAACTATCTGTGCATTGTAAAGTGAAATTTTAACAAATGCATAAATGAGAACCATCTATAAAATTCAGACATCACGAAAGCTGAATTGTCTCCTTAATGTAGCCAAAAGTCATTAAAAATCTAAAAAAGTTTTGAAGAAATACGAGGCAGAAATATTTATATAAATATACACAAAGAAATTTGGGTATCAGATGCTGTGCAAAATAATGGCTACTTTAATTTACATAAACACCACCAAATGAGAATATATGGAATGTCTTGTTCTGGAAACAACCTCATTACTCCTTTTAATTACTAAAATTTAAAGATAGGAATTTAATTTTTAAAAAACAAAAACACATGTCTTCATCACTAAATCAAATGTTCCAATTAAAATATCATTAATCATTTAACTTAAATTGAAAGTAAAAGTGCCTTACCATTTTCTTCATTTCCAAAGATAGTAACTAGAACAGAAGAAAGAATAGTGAATAGATATAACATTTATTTAACATTTTGTATGTAAGTTTTATTTCAGGTTGAATATTCATCTTAATATTATTTTCAGGAAAATAAAATTTAGTTATAAATCGTACACACACAGTCAAAATTGCACTAAAAAACTCCAAAAACATTAAAATACTAAAATTAAAATTCTTTATCATTAACACTATAGTTACACTAAATGTTTTCAGAACTTTAATTTTAAGTATATCAACATGGTTATAGCTGCAATGTTTTCTTTAGCTCTTTCCTTAATGACATCTGCAGAATGAACAGAACTATCCTCTATGGCCCTCATAACTTATTTGTTAATCTGTGATGTACTCTTATCAACCTCTGTGAAATCTATACTCAAGGCAAATGCATTCTTCTAAATAAACAAGTAGAGGAACTTACTCTGCTAATTGTTAAGAGTGCTTTTTCTCTGAGTAATCAGATACTGAAGAAGTCAGAATAAGCACAGAAAAGGTAATTCAGTGTCTACCTCTCTTACGTCTTCTTCCATCTTGTTTGTATTAATATTGTGATGAATACAGCTAACAACCACTTCAGTCTACCAAGACTGAAACCCCGGGAACTGCTATTTACTCTTTCTTTCTGGATAGTCCAATGGCCTCTAGGTCCTGTTGGTTTTACTATCTAAGTCTCTTTATAATCTGTCACCTCTTCTTCAATCCCTCCCCACTGCCTTACTCAAATGCCAACAGCTTAAGGCATCTTCCTATTACCAGTTTAACACACCCCCACCACCAGCAAATCTGATGAATACCCTTCAGTACCTGTGAGTCACTTTCAGAATGAAGTCCAAAAGCTTCAGGGTAGCAAACAGTATAAGCCCTCTGTCATCTACAATCATTCTACCTCTCTAGTTTCTTCCCTTTTTTTTTTTTTTTTTTTTTTTTTGAGACAGGGTCTTGCTCTGTCACCCAGCCGGAGTGCAGTGGCGCAATCTTGGATCACTACAACCTCCGCCTCCCAGGTTCAAGTGATTCTCCTGCCTCAGCCTCCCAAGTAGCTGGGATTATAGGTGTGAGCCACCATGCCTGGCTAATTTTTGTATTTTTAGTAGACATGGGTTTTCACCATGTTGGCCAGGCTGGTCTCGAACTCCTGACTTCAAGTGATTCTGCCCACCTCAGCCTCCCAAAGTGCTGGGATTACAGGTGTTAGCCACCGCGCCAGGCCCTCTGTAGTTTCTTCTGTCATTTGCCTGTATTTCTGGTCTAATTATTCTAAACAAATTGCAGTTTCCCAAATGCATCAAGCTGTTTCATATTTGCCATGTCCCTTCTCTATGCATCCTTCAAGACCCAGTTTGAATACTAGCTTCTTTGTAAAGCTTCCTGAGTTCATCTTCAGGCAGAGTAGAACACTCCTTTATATCACTACTTCTCACTCTTCCATCTATACCACCGCCATCTCATATTTCTTTTCTTTTGTTTTTCAATTAATTGTCAATATGTCTGTCTCACCTTACTGAACTAAGTGCTCCTTGAAATGTCATGTCTTAGAATAGTAACAACCCTGCAAGTTATCCTTAGCTCCATTTTATAGATAAGTAAACTAAGGCTCAAAATAATTAAATGACCTTCCTAAGCTCACAGAGCTAGTATATGTAGTATAGATGGGATTTAATTAAAAGTCTGTTCAGACTACTGGTAAATACCAAAACTTGATGACATACTACGTTATCACCCTTCTCCAAGTAGAGAATCCCAATTTAAAATCACATCTAGCTAACAGTTTCCAGTGGTTGTCTCTTCCAGCTTCTCACTAAGATATTTCATGCTATTACAAGGAACAATAATTTGTTTCACATAAAAACAAAGCTAGGCCTGGCACGGTGGTCACGCCTGTAATATCAGCACTTTGGAAGGCTGAGATGTGCAGATCACTTGAGGTCAGAAGTTTGAGACCAGCCTGGCCAACATGGTGAAACCCTGTCGCTACTAAATATACAAAAATTAGCCAGGTATGATGGCACGCACCTGTAGTCCCAACTACCTAGGAGGTTGAGGCAGGAGAATCACTTGAACCCAGGAAGCAGAGGTTCCAGTGAGCCAAGACTGCGCCACTGCACTCCAGCCTGGACAACAGAGCTAGACTCTGTCTCAAAAAAAACAAAACAAAACACACAAAAGATCCACAAAACCAACAATGGCTAGAATCGCTTCTTCACAGAGGACTTTCCTGACCACAGAATGAATGGTTTAAATAAATCTTGGTATATATTCCCACAACACTTTATACTTTCCTTTTCATAACACTCCTAACACTTGTAATTACTGGTTTGCAGTTCATAGTTCCTTCTAGGATTTTTTCCTGGAGGTAGGGGACACAACTTTTTCACCAGCATCCAGAACACTGTATGGCATGGAACAAGCTCTCAGTATTTGCTAATGGCACCTCTAACTACAGAGACAAAGACATGGCTGGGAACAGCAATCTGCAGAAGATCTCACAGGGAGACAAGCCTATTCCATTTTATAGAGATCTCAAAATGCATTTTTTAAAAATTATTTTGATGACAAAACCAAGTTTACAAAAACTATTAGGCATACTAAGTTTTTACACAGGACTTTTAAAATGTAAGAAATGTCATATTTCAATCTTGTCAATTACACTGTATAATCTCATTTAGAGACAACATTAATTTATGGTTCTTTGTGAACATGAGGGCTGGCCATGTCCATTCTTCACTTCGTCGCCCCTTTTTCTTGCCTGTTTCCCACTTATTGAGACTGAAAATGTCAGATACTTTACGACTTTACCAGTATACTTGTATCTAGTATGGCTATGGGATCCAGTTCTTGCAAATGGGTACATCTTGAAGGCGGAAAAAACTGTCACTAGGAAAAAAAATTTTTTTACTTTCTTATCAAGTGAGAAGCATGTGAGAAATAAGCTCTATTATTTCCTTTATTCTGTTTTTGCTTTGGATCCTTGTAATGCGAATATAGATGTGCAGTCTGAATCTATAACTGTCAACTTTCAACCTTGATAGGCCAGTTATATGCTGAGTCTAGAATTCTGGTTGATAGTTCTTTTCATTCTGCACTTTAAAAATGTGCTACTTCCTTCTAAATTCCATGGTTTCTGATGACAAATCTGCTGTTTTTCCCCTACAGGTAAGGTGTCCTCACTGTTGTCAAGATTTTGTATTTAGTTGTCAGAAATTTATAATGTATGTTGGAATGGATTTCTTTGGGATTTCCTGTTTAGAGTTTGCTGAACTTCTTGAGTTCTTCTTGAATATGTCCTTTGCCAAGTTGGGGACTTTTAAGTTATCATTTCTTTGAATACCTTTTCAACCATATCATCTTTCTTCTCCCCTGGGACTCTGATGGTACAAATATTAGAACTTCTAAAAACAGTCCCACAAGTCCCTGATGATTTGTTCATTTTTATTTTTCAGTACATTTTCTCTCTGTTGTTCAGATTGGATAATTTCTAATGTTTTATCTTCAAGTTCATTCATTTTTCTTCTGCCTTCTCCATTCTGCTGCTCAGTAGACTTATTAAAATTTTGGCTGTAGTATTTTTAAAATTTTATTATTTATTTATTTATTTTCTTTAAAGATGGGGTTGGCCAGGCTGGTTTTGAACTCCTGACCTCAGGTGATCCACCCACCTGGGCCTCCCAAAGCGGCAGGATTACAGGCGTGAGCCACTGCACCCGGCAAATTTTGGCTATTGTGTTTTGTTTAAAAATCTCCATCTGGTTCTTTATACCTTCTATTTCTTTGTTGAGAATTCTATTTTTTCATGTTTCAATGGCAAACTGAATCACTTTAAAGACTGCTGCATTAAAATCCTTGTCAGTTAATTTCAACATCTTTTTGGTTTTAGCATCTATTGTCTTGTCTCATTTAAATTAGTTTTCCTGGTTCTTGGTAGGATAGATTATTTTCAATTGTATCCTGAACATTTTAGTATTACGCTGAGACTCTAGATCTTATTTAAATTTGTCTTTGCAGGCCTCCTCTGACTCCATGCAGTGAGAGATGTGGGAGTAACGCCTTGTTGCCATCAGGTGGGAGTACAAGTCCTGGTTCCCCACTAGGCTTCTGCAGAGATATCTTGGCTGGGAAGGGTAGAGGTGCCTCCTAAGTGCTTCCCACATAGCCTCCATTGACACCATGAGGAGAGGGAACCTGTTACTGTTTGGGGTGGGGGAATGGAAGGGACACATCATTACTGCCCAGCAGGAATAAAAACCTAGATTCCTGACTAGGCCTTCACCTTTTCTGATAATATCCCAGCAGGAATATTGGGGAAGAGACACAGGACGGGGAGTCTTGTTACAGCTGGGCAATGGGGTAAGTTGTTTTTTTTTTTTTTTTTTTTTGAGATGCAGTTTCGCTGTTGTTACCCAGACTGGCATGCAATGGCATGATCTCGGCTCACTGCAACCTCTGCCTTCTGGGTTCAAGCAATTCTCCTGCCTCAGCCTCCTAAGTAGCTGGGACCACAGGCGTGCACCACCATGCCCAGCTAATTTTTGTATTTTTAGTAGAGACGGGATTTCACCTTGTTGACCAAGGATGGTCTCAATCTCTTGACCACGTGATCCACCCACCTCAGCCTCCCAAAGTGCTAGGATTATAGGCCTGAGCCATCGTGCCCGGCCGGGGGTAAGTTTCAAGCTCAATACTCAGTCTTTACTGGTGAGAATGGGGAGCATAGTTTGTCTATTGTTTTTTGCTATTGTCTAAAAGTTTTCTGTCTTGCTAGGTTGTCCCTTTCCTAGTTTGACTAATGAAAATGGTCTTTTCTAGGGTTTGTTTTGGTCTGTACTCATTGGTGTTTCCGGATTGCCAGCTTCTCTAGCACCTATTTGGAATACACTAAGAAAAATAATCTAGGGAACATATCACTATGTTATTCCTCAAGTCAGGTCTCTAGCTAATCTGGCTTCTTCTTGCTATCTTTCAGTCTTCTCAGGTTTGTTTTCTATAAATTA